GTCTTAGATCTCTTTTTTGTCTCGTGTTTTTAGGTCTCAAAGTCTCAGATGTCACTTTTGTAGATATCAGGGTTTTAGTTCTCTTTTTGTCTCACGTTTTTAGATCTCAGTTTCTTAGATTTCACTTTTTTGTCGCACATTTTTAGATCTCAAAGTCTTAGATCTCACATTTTTCGTCTCAGGTTTTTAGATCTCAGAATCTTAGACCTCACGTTTTTTTGTCTCACGTTTTCAGATCTCAGCCTGCAACCTCTCACATTTTTATAGATTGAGTTTATAGAACGTTTTTGGATCTCACGTGTTTAGATCTCACATTTTTAGATTTTTTAGATCTTGTGTTTTTCTTTAGTTCTCATGTTAACACCGGTCATAGTTAATTAGGTCTTGGATTTTTAGATGTTGAGTTTTTAGGTCTCAAGTTCTTAAATCTCATGTTTTTAGATCTATAGATCCTTTAGATCTCAAGGCCAATGTGTTTTTCTCCAAATCCTCCCAGCTGCCGCTTGCTGGTTCAGCAGTGTCACATATAAATGGCCAATGGGTGGTCCGAGTGGGATGTGGAAGGCAAAATTCGTGATTAGTCGGAGCACAGTGCAGGGACAAAGCCTCCAGATGAGCTGGAATGACAGCATTAATGAGCCTGGAGGCCTAATGGAGGCTGGGTGCGGGGGTTGGAGGGTCATTGTCCAGGCCGCCTGCCACACAGGTTTAAACCCCATTCAGCAATTTGGGCCAGGGTGAGAAGAGCTATACGGCTTGGTTTAAAACCAACTGTTCTCTATTTGCTTGTTTAGTTAAAGTGAGTGTTTGGCAGTTAAAGAAATATGCTGAAGAAAGTGACCTGATTCACATCTGTACAGTTGTTCTATATACATATATATATTATTGTATATCAGCACAATTGCTGAGTTTCAGTGACTTTTTTGACAGTAATTTGTTGATGTGATAGATTTTATTGCTGCACGTTTAAACGAAAGCTGTCATTTGAAATAAAATAAATGGCACAAGCAGTTTTGTAATGGAAAATTGTATTTCAGGCTCTGCCCCCACTGCAGAGTTGTTGACTGGCCTGTTTCATTGTTTGCTTGGCAGATTCTTAGCAGCTTTGACGGACACACAGCAGAGACAGCCAGGGCTTCTCTCTCTCTCTCTGAGATTCATTTTCCAACAGCTTTATTGCCACTGTAATTAACAACTGTTGCCAAAGCAACAAAAGAATGCCTAATACTAATAGTGATAATAATATCGAAGAGAAAAGACCCCCCCTCCCCTCCCTCCCCATCAAGTAGTCTTTTGTTCCATGGGCAAGGCCACTGGTGATGATTAACTGAAGCTCCACTGTCTGTTTGGAGCTGCAGTCAAAACAGGGTCCAGGCTGTGCTGATTAAATCTGATTAGGGCAGCCTAGCGTGCGTGTTTATCCTCCCTGAGTCATATGATAGGAGCAGGCTTTTCCTCAGAGAGAGAGAGAAGAGAAAAAGAGAGACGTGTTCAGCTGGAAACCGTCCTAACCGTGAAATGTTCCCTGTCCTTCTGTCTCACGTTTTTAGAACTCAGAGTCTAAGATCTCACTTTTTTGTCTCACGTTTTTAGATTTCAGGGTCTTAAATCTCATGTTTTTAGATCTCAGGGTTGTAGATCTCACTTTTTTGTCTCACATTTTTAGATCTCAGGGTCTTAAATCTCATGTTTTTAGATCTCAGAGTCTTAAATCTCACTTTTTTGTCTCATGTTTTCAGATCTGAGTCTTTACTTAATTGGCTAAAATGCTTTGGCTTAACCCCCTAAAGTTTAAATGGCAAATGAACCTTAGTAGAAATCAAAATGTTCTCATGTTTTTGTAGAGTAGCAGTCTTTGGCAGTTAGAATTTTTGGGTCTTTTCTTGTTTAATTTTGCTTTATTCACTTTGCTTATCATGTCACATATCATTGCTATTAGAACAAATCCTTGTATCTCCATTTTTGTCATTTTTTTATATATTTAATAATTCTCAAATTTGAAAATGCTGGCAGCTTTTTGCAATGTCTGAAAATTTCAGGATGAATGAGCCAAAGGAAATGGTGCAAAATAGTTCGGAATAAAATCGTTTTTCATTAACTTACATTAAAGATTAAAAATATTAGCCAAAAAGATTGACGTGATGTTTTAAAAACATCAAAAAATAGTCAAATGGGTCTGTAGAGATGCTTTCTCACAGCTCCTGACTGACTAATTACCCCGTCCCCACTCTGTGTGACCAGTGTGTCCATTAAGGTGAATCGACTGTTGTTGGCGGATATGGATATCGATATCTGCGATTGCAAAATTTCCAATTGTCAGATTTTTCTGAAATTCGACAGTAATCACTAAAAGATGTCAAACACTCACATGGTTATCCAATTTTGGATATTCCTTGCACTGGAAGAGAAGAATAAGTGATAAGAATAAACGGAAAGCAACCGTGTTTTCATGCATTTAAGAGAAAAGGGTCAATCGATGAGTCACAATATTTTGTCATTAGAGCTCAGTGGGAGTGGGTCAGGAGGGTTGCTGTAAAAGCAGCCTGAAGTATGGAGGAACCTGATCCTCCTGTGTTTGTGTTTGTGTTTTAGACATGCGTCCTGTCTCTGTTTCCTCAGGGTTGCTTCTTTCTAGCAGGAAATGATTATCTAGCGTCCACCCACGTCCACTCCAAACTCTGGAGGACTAATTTTCATTCTGTCCAGGTTTGATTCTTTAGTTCTGCACCGGAGCTACGACGCTAATGTTGTTAACATGTAATATGGGACGTTTTAGCATCACAGGCAAATAGAAATGGTCCAAAATAGCTTGGAATAAAACCTAAATCATCTCAAATTACATTTGAGCATAACAGGCAAATAAAGAAAGTTTTGATGAGTGATGAGTTTTGATGACACTTTATTTGAAGGCTACATATATAAGGACATCATAACACATGCTTAAGCATTTATAAAGCAATACTTGAGTATTTATGAGCTGCTTATGCCAATAATCGCAAGATACCATAAGCTATAGTAAATGGCGTGTTGACATAGATGTTTTGTACTTTAATTCATATAGAACTACACAGAACTGATATAAACATTTAAACTAGACTTTCTTTCTAAGTTTCATTACTTGGAAACAATGCATTATAACTGTGCTATAAACAGAACAGATGCACAGTACTTTAGTTTAAGGTCCCTCATTTCAATGCAATGTCATTTAACATCGTATGTCATCTTGTGGTTACTAGCATAAGCTGATCATAAATACTCTAATATTGCTTCATAAACATGTTATTCAGTTTTTATGCATGTGTTATGTTGTCCCTATGTAGGTAGCCTTTAAATAAAGTGTTACATGTATTTTGCGGTTAATAATTTTAAGATGTGTTATTCAGGAACTGTTATGATGATAGTAAGGAACTGACAATTGGGTCCCCATACAAAAGTTTACTTATCCATCCCAAGAAAGGGGTGGTGTATGAGAGAGAGAGAGAGAGAGAGTGTGTGTGTGTGTGTGTGTCTGTGTGTGTGTGTGTGTGTGTGTGTGTGTGTGTGTATACAAGGCAAGGCCAAGAGACAAAATGCCAAGGTCTGACCCCACATTCCTTCCCAAGTGTCCTCAATTTGCCATGGGTTTTGCCTTATCATTAAATTGGGCCCCAATAAAACTGGGAGTGGTCAGGCTAAAGGCCAGAAAGGCCAGATGAGAGTTCATGTCAGATTTTTTTCCACCCCATCCCATCTGCGATTGGCCGAGCAGCATCTATATATATATATATATATATATATATATATATATATATATATATATAGAGAGAGAGAGAGAGAGAGAGAGAGAGAGCTGCTGTTGGATCAAAACTTTGTATCTCCAAAATTATAACTTTATAGGAGAAGGAAAAAATGTACTTTACTCCTAATGTAAGTCATTGGAACCAGGATTTTTTCCAAGTAATTTTGGGAAATTTCTTTTAGTCTATTTCTCATGAAATGTACACACAATATAAAGAACCAAAAACTGAAAAATGACAAAAAATGAGATACAAGGTTTTGTTCTGACAACAGCGATATATATATATGTATATATATATATATATATATATATATAAAAAAATATAATAATATAAAATATTTCTCATTTTGAGATTGTTTTAAGCGTGTCATTATCATTATAAAATTATTTATCTTATTTCTAGACATTTCTACATATTCAAATTTATTAAACCAGGCAAAATTACCTTCCAATATAGACAATTTTACTTGATAAAATCACTTAAAGCAAGTCAAAATGTCGAGAAGTGTTTGATAATCTGAAAATAAGCCAACAACAATCTCAGCCTAAGAAATATTAGATGCTTCAACTAGATTTAACATACTTTTATATGTCAAGATACAGTTGCACTTTGCAGTGTACTGTTGCCAAAGGAGACCACGGTTTAACTTCTCTGGCAGCAGCTCTCTTTTTTGGATCTGGTCCTGGGCTCGTTGGGATACTGTGTTTAAATGTGGCTGATGTTTTTTTAATTGGCGTAAAACAGAGACGGGTTTTAATTTACTTTACGTAACTTTATCAAGTGCAAATGTCTTACTTGCACCAGCATTTTTCTGAAGCTAAGTTTAATTGCCAAAATTCCTGAAAAGAAGTAGAAGTAGGTTAAAAACTCGTGTGACATTCTTTCCACAACATCATGTTGAGAAATTTTAGCCAAATTTCCTATAATAAGATGCGTGAGATATCTTGTTTTTATCTGCATGTCTTACACGTGGCTGGCACACGCGGATGGTGGTGGTCGGTACTGGTTTCCTTGAGAGTATCAACCACCAACACCCCCCCCCAACACATACACACACACACATACACACAGCATCTGTCACCCCAGGGGGTCAGCAGGGCCTAAGATGAATGAGTCTTCTGGGAATGCCCAAATGGCTGAAAGGAGGGAGGGGACGGGGGTGTGTGTGTATGTGTGTGTATGGGGGAAGGGTGTGTGTGTGGGAGAGAGAGAGAGAGAGAGAGAGAGCGAGAGAGAGCTAGCTAATGTTGCAGTCAGGCAGAAACAGTGGCCATGAGCAGAGGATTTGGCTGCTGGAGATAAAGAGTAGAAGCTAATTCGATCTCCTCTTGCTTGGACTACATTCATTTTTCAGCCTCTCCATAAAAAAAGGACTCTACTTTCAACATGGACGTCCGTTTCTGACCATTTTGGACTTTTTTCCCCTTTCCTGTGACCGTTCTTCCCCTGGCTGGAGCTCTTTGAGAGAGAGGCACACTCCACACCATGGCAGAGTATTAAAGGTAAAAGGCCTGTGATGTTAAGTCTCTCGCTAATGTGGTGTTGATGGCTTTGGCCTTTTAGCACCTGCAACATAGTTTAATCAGAGCATTTTTTGTAGCTTTTTAGGTCCTTCTACAATTTCACTGGGCCTAGAAATGAGGTTAGACATGTTATCCTGGAAGTCAGGGAGAAATTTGCAACAAAAACGCAGCTTTACAGGAGACGCTCTTCAGTCAGTATCCATCGATTTAGCCTTAAAGTCTTGTTTTCGGAAGTTTCCAACCGTATGTTCGTTGTGAAATGTTCACCCAGTGTTGTTAAAGGGTAACAATTTGAGTTATGAGGTTTTCTCAGGACGGAGATTTTAGCTGTAAACCTTACACAGGTTTTAGAGGGGTCAGCGGTGAATGTCGTGGTCAACTGAAGATCCTTACCTCCACTTCTTACGTTAGTTGAACTTGTGTGAAGTTTTGTAAATGTGTTTTTATGCGGCCTCAGGCTTTAATCAGACTAATTATTCAGTAACTGCTTGTGTAGTTATGAGTGAGCAACTGAAGTAGTTTAAAGTAGCAGCCTTTGTTGTTTAAGAGGTTAAATCTACCATTTTTTTAACTTTGAAAGTCAGAATTGCATCACATCTTCAGTTTGTTGGACTTATTTGCCAGGATAGATCTAAGTACTCATTTTATTTTCTATTAAATCTTCTTATTTTTTTAAGTCTAAAGTCAGGATTGCATTGCATCTCCAGTTTAGTGGACTTATTTGCCTAATTAGATTTAACAAACCATTCAAATTCTTACATTTGCATTGCAAAAATTTGCCACATTAGATCTAACAAGTCATTCAAGTCCTCATTTTGTGTTTATGTTGTCTTTTATTTTTTAACTCTAAAGTTAAAAAGTATTGCAATTTCATTTTATTGGACTTATGTGCCTAATTTGATCTAACAAACTAATCAAATTTTTAAGAATTGCATTGCAAAAAATTCTAATTTGCTTTGCATTTCCAGTTTAATTTGACTTATTTGCCAGATTAGATCTAACAAATCATTCAGGTCCTCATTTTGTGTTTATATTAAGTCTTTTTAACTTTAAAGGCAGGTCTGCATTGCATCTCCAGTTTGGTAGGCTTATTTGCCTAATTAGATCAAACAAATATATTCAAATTCTCTTTTAGTCCTAATTTTGTTTTGATCTTTGCATTTCCAGTTTATGGGATGTATCTGCCTGATTAGATCTAACAACTCATATAAGTTTTCTTTCAGGCCTTGTTTTATTTTTATATTAAATCTTATATTTTTTTAAACTCTAAAGTCAGGATTGCATTACATCTCCAGTTTAGTGGACATTATTTTGCCTAATTAGATCTAACAAACATTTCAGATGTTCTTTTAGTTCTAATTTTGTTTTCATCTTAATGTTTGCATTGCGTTTCTGGTTTATTTGCCTGATTAGATCTAACAAACTATTGCAATTTTGTTTTAGTCCTGAGATTATTTTTATATTATGGCCTGAATTGTGCTTCATGTTCATTGGACTCATTTGCCAGATTAGATCTAACAACTGATACAAGTTTTCTTCCAGTCCTCATTTTGTTTTGTAGTAAATATTCTACTTTTTGTGCTCTAAAGTCAGGATTGCATTGCTTTTAGAAATCACTGGACTCGTTTTCCTGGTTAGATCTAACAAGCAGTTAAAATTTTTTGATTTAGCTTCTATATTAAGGTTCGCACTTCCAGTTTGGTGGACTTATTTGCCTGATTAGAGCTAACAAATCGTTCAAGTTTTCTTTCAGTGCTCATGCTGATAGGCTCACAGGGTAATGACCTTATGTCAAGTTTCTACCATGTGGCCTTCTAACTCCCCTGTGAGAAGTCATAAATAGGCGTTTTGTGTTCTTTAGCTGGGACGTGCTATTTTGAAATATTTTCACTTTTTTTTGACCTTAAATGATCTAGTTAAATTCCACTGAGGGAAGATTCTCTTCTCCTGTCTTTTCCGAGCTGCATAAATGTGATGAGATAGATTAAAAAAGGGACAAAAGAAGAGAGGGCTGAAAAAAAGAGTCAAAGAAGATCCCTGGGGGGGCGGGGAGGGACTTATGGGGGTGGTGCAGAGAACAAAACATATTTTAACACTTGAATGTCTCTAATAACACTTGAACTTTGGTGCATGCGGTACATTTTAACGTGACTTTTTTCCCTTCAGTATCATTTCTAGCTAATTTCAATGAGCATCATCCAACAGCAATGTAATTAAAAAAACCTTTTTGGCACAGGCCATTTTTTTTAAAAACTATTTGCCTCTTTTAGAAAGAGGTCAGAAAGGTCGAGGAACTAAATGGACACTTTTTTTCTTTGTTTCTAGCAGCTGTTGAAATTGTTGCACTAAGTTCAAGGTAAAATTCTGGAGTCAGTCCCAGGATATTGTGTCTGATGGAGTTTTGTTTTGTCTGTTTTCCTCTTTTGTTATTTTGAAACACCGGCATTATGTGGCTTCAGTATTTTTATGAGCAGTTGTGAAGCAGTGCAGATGGCCCTTTGGCCAACTGTTTGGCACTCTGTCCAGGTCAAAGGTTCATGCCCTGGATTTCGGAACAGGCCCTGGATTTTTGATTTCTTCTGCTTTTGTACCATTTGAGACTCAATGGCTGTGACAGTGTCTTTTTTTAGAGTCTCTTCATTGAAACCAAACTCTTTTCAATCATTTCAATACGTTACTGTGTATTTCTTCTTTATTTTTATTTATTTTTTTACTGCTTTCACTATGAAATAACACACATGGAATTATGAACGGACCAAAAAATGGTTAACCCCTTAAAATCTCAGGTTTATTACATACTAAGACTCATTATTCAGTAACTACAGGGACTTCAGTGCAAACTGGCTGAGCTATTCTAGAAGTGTATATTAAAACTTTGGGCCTGCTGGTGGGCCGTTTATGGGGTTAAACACATCAAACTAGCTTCTATTATCTATTAGAAATCAGCCACACTTTGGTCTGTACATACTCTTGTTGTTCTCTCAGGCAGCTTCATGAGGATTTTCCATCAGGACTGAAGAAGAGACACATATGCTGAGACTTTGTTTACTCTTTACTCCTATTTTTTGTTTTGTAAATAAATTCATACATAGGCATCAACGTCACTCTATATATTTGTCTTAGAATGAGTGTTTTAACGTCAGCTATTGGATCAAAATGGTTTTTAACCCCTTTATAATCCAGGTTAATTACATGCTAAAGCTTATTACTCAGTAACTACAGGGACTACAATGTAAACTAATATATATATATATATATATATATAATATATATATATCGTTGCTTTCAGGACAGATTTTTTAATCTACTTTGAAAAATGCAGTTCCCCTTTATTTTGTGTCAAAATTTCATGATTAATGGACCAACAGAAATGGTCCAAAATACTTGGAAAAACATACTTTTACTTTCATGAAAAATTAACTTTTTTTCTTCTCCTGTAAAGTTAACTTTTTGGAGATACGAGATCTTTTAGGTATAAAATGGGGTGAAGGATTGTGCAGCACTGCAGAGCCCCTTTCATTGCACATTTAAAAAAAATTTTTTTTTTTTAGTTTTCTTTTATAAAACATATAGAGGTGCAAAAACGTATCATTGAGGTGGTGAATCATGAATTTTGGAACGTTATATCTGATTATAATCATTTATACTAATACTCAGTGCTCATTTTTTCAGGCCAAATGAAAATTCGTGGGCTGTTTTCAAACATGTCACCCCACCAAAAAAAATAAATAAATAAAATGGTTTGCTGTTTTATTGTACATACTAGCTAAGAATCATAGCAAAATAATCAAATTGAATTCAATCATGGGGAAACATAAAATTTGCATTAGGTTGTTTCCTGAAGAATCCTAATCTAATTGAATTGTGTATTATATGTGTTTAAAAATAATTCATAATTGTATTAATCAAATTAATTCAGCTGAATTGTGTGGAAAGTTGAGATTCCATGATTCATTGAATAATTTCCTAAAGAGTCATAATTGATCTGACCCGTGGTGGGTGAGGTCACACCTAATCCAGCTCCTGAAAGGCTCAGTAATCACCTGATGAGGTGAATCAGCAGGAAAAACACAGGAATGTCTTCAGGATTGTAGAACAAAAAAACACGCTGTATAAGTGAGACTGTGGTGATCAGATAACGGCCGCTGTACCTGCAGGCGGCGAGTGGAGGGTCACGTTTAAAGGCCTGTTTAAATGTCATTACCAGTCGGACTGGACCATTCGACTCTCCGTCCCAAGGGCAGGGAGGGGCACGCTGTGTCCTTGTTAACATGGACAGGTCTTTGTTCGAGCTCTTGAATGTAGCTAATATACATTTACATACAAGTCAGAGGTTGCAGACACACCTCCAGTTCAGTCTTAGAAGCTGGTTGATCATTTTCTGAAGTAATCAAACACATTCAGTGGTGTTGAGGTCTGGACTCTGGGGTGGTCAGTCCATTGTTCAGCTTCTTTGTTTGATGTGTCCGTCTCCTTTTCTCAGTGAGGTTCTTCTTGAACAGCTACACATCCTTTCAGACCCACAGCGCTGAGTCGTCTTCTCACAGTGGAAGGATGGACAGAAACACCTGTGGATGTTTTCAGATCTGAAGCAGCTTGATTTTCTCCTCTCTCTCAAAGATGAAAGCTTTAAGTGCTGTTTATCTGATGGGGGTCAGTTTTGGGGTCTACCAGGTCTTCCAGGTGGTTGTTAGGTGTTTGTTAGAAATTTTTATATATATATTATATATATATATATATATATATATATATATATATACTGTGTGAGAATTTATATATATATATATATATATATATATATATATATATATATATATAAATTCTCACACAGTATGAGAGCTATCCGAATCAGGATCACTTAAAAGGCACAGACGAGGTGAAATGGGTGCTCACGTAAACATACAAGAACAGAGTGCAAATAGTAAACAAGTAAATATAATATGCAGTCACAGAGTATCACAAAATATACATAAATCCAGTCATATTATCTAAATGTATAGATTATTTACAGCCGTATAGATCAGGATACCATTGTAAAATGGCACATACTCATTATCTCTTCTATTGTTTTGTTTTTGTTTCTAAAAGTGCTTCTACAGTATTGATTATCCATGTCGGGTCCTCTGGTGGCTCCGTGGGAGCGTTTGATGGATTGTGTGTGTTATAATAAGAGGCACTGATTGGGATTCTTGATCATATTTGCAGGTTAATTTTGCATTTTGAAAGTTTTATTGCTGCACGATTCTCTGAATTGTCCTCTGGTATATTTTGCTCATTTAGTTGTGAGAATTTAGGTCTATTAAAAATTAGCTGATTAAATTTTGCAAAAAATGGCTAAATGTACTATAAGCTTTTTAAAAAAATGCACAAAGAGTAAAGAAAAAAGAACCCAAATAATGCATATCATCGCTGCCCAAAGAAAACCATGTATCTCCATTTTTGACGATTTATTTTTTTTTACATCATTTCAACACACCAGCTGTCCTTTACGTTGTTCATGATGAATGGACCAATAGAAATGCTCTAAAATCACTTGGAGTAGTCTCTCTTTACATTGACTTACATTGAAAGGTAAGAGTGTTTTGCCTTCTCCTGTAAAGTTACTATTTTGTAAATACTTGTTTTTTTTGGACAGCGATGACATAATTATATTGAACATTTCTACTGTAAAAAAATATCTTGGCAAGTAAAACCATCTCAGTTCTAGTCAATATATCAGCTTTTACCATTATGCGAATGTTATAAGAATATTCTAAGATTATTTAACCTATTTATAGACATTTTTACTTGTCATTTTATGTAGTGAAATAATGTTGCACTGTTACATCATTTTGCTTGTTTAAAAAATAAGGCATGAAATAAAAAGTTATATTTGGCAATGGAATAATAAAATTTCAGGAGACAAAATGAATTAAAATGAGTTAAAATATCTAGAAAGTTCCTTCTGGTTATGACAAATATGGATTGATATCTTGACTTTTTCACTTCACAAGTGGGATTCATTTGCTAAATTTGTGCAGAAACACCAAACAAAGAAAAGCGAAACTCTTCACAATTAGGAAAGAAAACAAATCTTTTTTTTTAACCGGTGGGTAAATGGAGTGTGTGGGTGAGTTACTGAAGAATGTTAATGAACGCACCCCGGGGGCCTTTGGGACCGTGGAGCTCCATCCATCACTCTTATCAGCTCACAGCAACACATGTTAAAGTGCTCCGCAATCTGCTGCAGCATCTACACAACCAGCTCCGTCAGGTTCTGTCAGCTTCTGTGCAACATACATCAGCATTAAAGTCTGGGATGGTGGGATTTTTTAAAGGAGGGAAAAAAGTGTAGAACTTTCAACTTTTGCCAAACTGTCACTTTAAGATCTAGATATTTAGCTTTAAAACGTTCCAGAAGAAATATGAACTACCCAATGAACTCATGTGGAGAACGTTCTAGCAGCTTTGTTGGAGCTGAAAAGCTTAATCTTAGTCTTTTTCTTAATTTTTTTTATTCATTTTTTCCCCAATTGTTTGTTTTTTCCTCCTGATTCTTCCTAAATACACTTTTAGCAAAAAGGGTTCTGTATGGTACCAAAAAAGGGTTCTTTTGGCTTGTAACAATGATTGAACCCTTTTGCATGCTTTATAGAACCCTTTTCAAAAAGTCTACATTACATTCTACATCAAGACCCCTTTTATGACGCAAAGAACCCTTTAATCATGCAGAGGGTTCTTTGGGTGTTCATGGTTCTATACAGAACCATTTTCTTTACTAAAGAACCCTTGAAGGACCATCTTTTTAAAGAGTGGTTTTTTCAATGCCCACACTCTTCAAAATAAACATGGCAAAAAGGGTTCTTTGTGGCATGCCATAGAACAACCACTTTTGGTTCCCCAAAGAACCATGTTTAAAAAAAAAAATTGTGAGTGTGAAAAGTTTAGAGAACATACAATTAAGTTAAAGGTTCGATACCAATTTATTTGTTGGAGATTCTTTAGACTTTAAAAAGGTTCTGCACACTCAAACATCTTGTGTGCAAAAGTAGTTCTCTGAGGAACCACTCAATTTCAGGGTTAAGGTTCTAGTCCAATATAAAGGTCTTTCCTAGAACCCTCCAGTTTGATGGAACCACTTTTATAAATGAGATGTGAACTCCTCATTCTCGGAAGTTCTCTAACAGGAGCCCTTCGAATGGTATAGAACTTTCACCTTAATCGAAGGTTCTTTAAACCTTTAAGAGGTTCTCCACGCTTACAAATCTCTTGTTAAACATGGAACAAAAGTGGTTCTTTTACGGTGTTTCTCTAAGAATGATTTGAGGCACTTGTGTTTAAGAGTGTTCTTTAAATATGCTGGAGGTTATGGTGATGTTCTGTCATTTTACCTGTGCAGGTGAGTGGGAGGTGAATTGGTGATGGCCAGGTGGCTACAGTCTACAGTCCATCTCTGACCTGTGATGGAGAAAAGGTGATCCGGTTCCTTCACGCCTGAGGAAGAACACACAAAGGTACAGAGAACCTTCAGTCCTGCTCTTGTTCGACTTTCTGAATTATGCATATTAATCCATACTTTAAAATGAGCTTTTTAATTAAACATGCAAAAGTTTGGGCCCCCCTGATCAAATTCCAGTTGTTGTTCTAAGTGTAAATAAGTTAACACATCCTGTACAGACAGAACACACTTAAATACGGCAATTTCTGTTTATTCGCTGAGTTTAACATATTAAAAACATAAAAATAAACATAAAAATTTTGTTACATTTCACGTGTTAGTTTTTTCTCAGCATGTTAAATTCAGTGAACAGTAATTGTGTATTAAAGTGTGCAGTACACTGGTAGAAATAAAGGTTCTATACAGGTACATTTTTCATTTATTAAGGTCCAAACAGTGCAAATGTTCCCTCAAACGTAAAACAGTGGTTTTAAGGTCTGATTGTGAACCTTAAATAAGTTTTCCCAGGTTTAAAAGTTCGTATTTGTACCTTTTCATAACCGAATGTTTTAAAACAGAACAGTAAAATAAAAGCCTGGAGACGAGACGGGGTGTGTGGAGTCAGTACAGCTTAGAACATATCATTTCAGTGGATTATGGTTCAGTTATGTTCCCTGACTAAAGGTACTGAGATGAACCCTTGAGAGTTCCACCCCAGTGACAAGAGGGGAACTGACCCAGTGACAGTTTAGGACCTTTATTTCTGAGAGTGAAGTGTGTCGCTGTAGAGGATGTGTTCACTTATTTATACTCAGGAAATCAACAACAGCATGGAGTTTGACCCGGGGCGCCAAAACTTTTGCACATGACTGTATGAAATACGTTACGATATCGCAAACCGAGAAAGACAACATGTTAAGATATATTAAAAAGGTTTTTGAAAAGCTAGTCCCTAAATCTTTAATGCTCAGTGGATTTATTTGCATTTGTTTGTTTGTTTGTTTGTTTGTTTGTTTAAATGGGGAAGAAGCCAATGTGTCCATCAGCCATAGAGTTTAGAACGAACACACAGTACATGTCTAAACGTTTATTCTGAAATACATGTCCAGCGTTTGTTCTGAAAAGGGTGTTAATAGTGAGTCTGTGCCGCAGTAACAGCCTCGACTCTTCTGGGAAGGCTCTACAGTAGATGTTGCACATTGCTGTGAGGATCTGATTGAGCATTAGTGAGGTCAGGTACTGATGCTGGATGGTCAGTTCTGGATCACTGCAACTCATCCCAAAGGTATTGGATGGAGCTCCATCACTCCAGAGAACACTGCTCTGCAGCCCAATGCTAGGGGGCTTTATACCCCTCTAGCCTACACTTGGTATTGGACATGGTGACCTCACGTACAGCTGCTCCAGATCATCCAATTCTATTGGTCAGTGCTTTTCTATGGAGATTATGCAAGCTGTGTGTGAACTCCCATGGTTTTCAGTGTAATTGGAGGCCTATTTTGTGAGCTGAAGATCATCAGAAAGCATCGCCAACAATGTTAGGAAGCATGGTAGTAATGCAATTGTCCACAACTTGGCATTTAAGGTCGAGGAATATGGCAGAAAGAAATGCTAGCATTGCTGAAAGTAAGCAAGGGCTGGTTAGCATCATGCTAACAGGAATTTCTCATTTAAATTATGAAGCAATTCATTTAAGCAGCAGGCCAGCTGGACGTCTTCGGGCAGGATGATGACCAATGTCATTTGGTTTCATGTACTGATCTGACGCTGCCAAAGATCTTCATAAAGCAGACCTAAGAAGGTCAGGAAATATGTCCGTATACAAACCCACACTGTACATTGTGAATATGTGCAGTGACAGTCCACACTGCGGCATCTGAGGTCAAGGAAGAAGGGCTAACATTGCTGAAAGCTTGCATGGGGCCGCTTATACTTTAAACTGGGTGGCTTTTGAACGAGCCCATGGGTGGTTTAGGGATCTTAGTTGGAGCACTTAGTTTATGCAAGCTAACTAGCATGCTAACGCTGAACACTAGCATGGGTTCAGTTAGCATCATGTTAATTCCTTGCTAGAAAACCCAGCATAGACCAGCATGGCTGGTCACCAGTAAAGCATGTTGTGTTTTGGATTCTGGTCAACCAGCATGATCATGCTTGGTAACCAGCTAAACTAGAATTCAACCAACATAAATCAGAACAAACCAGTTTAGACCAGTATGTAATTCATGCTGGTCTGTGCTGTTTTTAGCAGGATTTTTCTCACTGAATCAATCGAAGTTGAGCCAACCAAAAATGCTAAATAGGCCAATGATGAGTGAATGTGAACAATTAATGCTAATAACACCATGCTTATTAGTGGCTACTAGCTTCTGTTCACTGTTAGCCACATTAGCATGTTTGATTGAGTGTGTCCTTTAAAAGAGCCTTTAAGTGTTATGTTGGATCAGTCAAAAACACTGAAGTTACTAAAAATGAATGAACATGAACAAAATTAAACAAATAACATCATGCTATTTGGTGACTACTAGCTTCTGTTCACTGTTAGCTCCATTAGCAGCATGGTTTGATTGAGTATGTCCTTTAAAAGTGCCTTTAGGTTGGGTCAGTCAAAAATGCTAAAGTTGCTAATGCTGAACAAATAACGTAAATAACGTTATGCTACCCCGCTAGAAAAAGCAGCATAGACCAGCCTGGCTAGTCAGCAGCTAAACCAGCATGTGTTTTGTATGCTGGTATGCTGGTCAACCAGCACTGGCATGCTGAGTGACCAGCTAAACCAGCACCAGACCGACACAGTCCAGCTCAGACCAGCATAGAATTAGAGCTTCTGGCTTCTGTTCATTTTTAGCTACATTAGCATGTTTAGTTGAGGTAGCCTTTGGATGTTTTGGAGATCTCAGCTGCAGCAGGCAGTTTAAGCAGAAGGCCAGCTGGATGTCCTTGGCCATGACGGTGACTCTCGTGGTGGGTGGCACAGAAGACGTCCTTGAACAAGATGACGGATGCACAGGCTAGGCTGGACAGTCTGGCCTTGCAGCTGCAGCGTCTAGCCTTACAGCGAGGTTGTGTTTGTGGTGTTTTCTGTGTTTGACAGCTGAGGCTTTTGGCCTGTAGCTTCACTGGGGTGTGCAGTGTTTCCAGAAAGAGCTCAAGGACAAAAAGACATGAGTCATTTTCCATGGCCTTTGTGTTTGGTCTGTAATATCAGCAGTAGCCACACCATCAGGGACCACGGCAGACTGGACTGTGGGGATATTTTGCTGAAATCCCTGAGGAGAAATTCTTGTTTGTAATACCTAAAATTTTGTAATACAAAAAAGAGTCTTAACATTTCCTAAGCGTAGGAATTAGATTGACGCATCCCAGCAGCTCAAATTGTTAACAAACGATTTGGTAGGAGTTGATTATCAGCAGGGTTAGGGTTAGGATTAGAAGTAGACCCAGATCAAGACTTAGGTTTAGGTTAAGGTTAGAGTGAGTGTTGCTTTTTAATTGATTTTTGAATTTGAATAGAGTAAATCTAATTGGAGTTAAATTTTAATTGAACAAGGCGAGCAGCTACAAGGCGTCTACAGTTAACTGTTAAAATAGTGATGCAGGTTTACAGAAACATTTACATAAATATAATATTTATAAAAGGAGGCAATATCAAACATTAAGATCTTAAGATCTCTGCTCACGTGTCGTTATTTACCTGATGAGTTTATTCAGGTTGATTAGAGTGCAGAGGGATTACTGGACTGAGACCGAGTGTCTGATGACAGATGACAGATGATTAGTTTTGTGCTCGACCTTCCTGTTGCTTTTGGCGTCTTTTTTAGATCCCAGGTGGTGTTTTGGGAATTCATTAACCCTTTAAACGAGTTATCATTCAGTTATTTATATAAAAACATATTGATCAGTAACTATATAACTGTACAGTAATTCAGTATGAATTATTCAGTATCCCCTATGAATTATTCAGTATCTACTCTGAATTATTCAGTAACTTCTATGAAACTAATGTTTAAGTTATGTATTGAAGTGAGTGAATAATATAAGTGTGGGCTCCCAAACAAAGGGGTTAACTGTAGTTATATTCTGTTAAAAAAGACGGTTCTTCGAGGGTTCTTTAGTACGGACTGTGGTCGTATATAGAACCATGAACAATCAAAGAGCCATTTGCATGCTTTAAGGGTTACTTGCATGGCAAAAGGGGTTCTTCAGACTGCCGGAGAAGTGCTGTATAGGGTTCTATGTAGAACTTTTTGGAAAATTGTTCTATATAGCACCTTCTATTGTTACAATATCAACCTCGTAACAATAGAAGAACACTTTTTAGTGCTATATAGAACCACACACAACACATTCTCCATCAATCTGAAGAGCCATTTCACCATGCAAAGAACCCTTTAAGCATGCAAATGGTTCTTCGAGTGTACATGGCTCTATATAGAACCATTGTCTTTACTAAGGAATCTTTTTTAAAAGTACGTCTTGGTGCTGATCATGTTTTCTTATTGGTTTTAGAAAATGGGAAATTCGTACGCAGGCCAGCTGAAGTCTGCTCGCTTTGAGGAGGCGCTCCATAACTCCATTGAGGCGTCGCTGCGCTCCAGCACTGGTGACCCACAGCCCATTTTCACACAGTTTTACCTGGAGCCTGACCAGTACCCCACCAACCTGGACGGTGAGGCTGACCCGTCAACTCTGTGAAAGCAGTTCGATAAGGCAGGAGCTGATTGGGTGTCCCGCAGTGTAGTTATGCTCTGACTAGGCCTTAAAGCGCATGTGTCAAACACAAGGCTCGTAGGCTGAGTCAGGCCTGTGGCACAATCCTATCCAGCCTGCGAAATTATTTTAATTTTCTATTCTTATTAGCCTGTTTCACCCTGAGATGCAGCTACTGTCCCCAGTATGCACTGCAACATAGTGTGTGTTCTGACCCCCCAACAACTATCTGTGGGTTGGCGGTTACACAAAAAGAAAAGATACCTGGTGTCTGGTTCAAGCAAATAGGTAGTTTTTAAAAACCTACCTAAAACAATTTATTTTTATTTTAAATTATTTTGGAATAAGTATTCAATGTCTATTTTGCTGTTGCAGTTTTGGCATATTTTAAATAAAAAATGACCAGATCAGGTCACAAAATGTTAAGTAAAAATGAAAAGTAAAAGCACAGCTGGCCCACAGATTTGTTGAGATTTTTTAATATGGCCCTTTTAGCATTTTTTGATACCGCTGCCTTAAATTGATAGTTTGGCAAACAAATTTAAAAGCAAAAAAGGCAAATTTACACCTTAATTTACAAATGTTCACCTCACTCCAGATGATCAGCCAAGATATATTTGGGCAAAAGTACTTTGCATCACTTAAAACAGTAGTAGCAGCTACCCTGACATCTGAATTTTGTCTGTAGTTTTGTCCAATCACATCATCACCTACAAATGTTCAGCACTGACAATTCAGAGTAAAAAGGCATCTTTAGTTTAACACGTATTACACTTTTTAGCACAGATAATCTTTGAATAAATTAAGAAGTTACTGATATTGTTGTATTTTATACACTGAGAAATAGTTTCTGATAGCTTTCAGTTCTCTTATGAATCATGATACAGTGCAGTAAAACTAAAATCACTGTAATGTGACTCCTGTTGGCATTTTTTCTTCCAGACATTAAGTCCAAAATGGACTTGAGCCTCAGGTCAGATCCTGCCGGTCATGTACTGATGAACTGCCAGTCGTCCAATGGCCTCGAGGACATGGATGATGATGATGAATCGGATACCAGCAGCCCACCACTGCCTTACCTGCAGGGCCCACCGCCTGACGGCTGCTGCACAGTAGATGGTAAAGCGATGATCAGTACCTTTGTACTTCAGTATGGCATATTGTGCTATATTTTAATTTGTTGTATTTAAAAAATGTGGACAATTGAGTGGAGAAAATGAGAACTGTTCTTAAGCGTTAATATGATGGGTATATATTATGGCGTCTTTCAATGGATATGAATAATGCAGTTCTGTAAGTTTTCCAATTGACAGATTTTTCCAAAATTCGGCAGTGATCACTTGAAGACACCACTTACTTTAATGGTCATCAAATATTGGATGTTCTTTGCAGTAAGACTGAAGAAAATTGCAGCAGAAAGTGGAACATCCTCTTTTTATGCACCAGAAATGTAGAAATTTGGAGCTTGTCTCAGGCTCCTTCTGCTGGAAACTTGAAAAACAACAAAAAACCATTTCATTCTCATTTGCTTTCAAGTAATTTTTACATTTTTAAAAAATTGGTTTTACATATCGCTGCTGTTGGAACAAAACCCGTATCGCCATTTTTGTCATTTTTCACTTTTTGACATAATTTGAATTTACCTGTTCGCCTTAACATTTTGTGTGAATTTCATGAAGAATGGACCAAAAAGAAATGTCCAAAATGTACTTTGAAAAACGTCTGGTTCCATTGTCTCACATTAAAAGTAAAGTAGGTTTTTTCCTTCTCCTGTAAAGTTACCATGTATGAAACCATACATTTCCATGTATGAAAATGCTACATTATTCTTCTTATTGTTATTATTATTATAGAAAAAATGTGATTGTCACAAAATTGTTAATTTCTGAGTAAATGAAAACTTATACCATCCGCACAATGGGCCATGGTCATTTCAGCTGCAGAACTACCTAAAGTTATGCTCTAAAGCCTGATTTATGGACCTCAGTCAGAATTCTTTATGGCCTACATTCATCTGAGCTGCCCTTACAAAGTACTTTTGCAGATTTGTTCTTGATTGCTCTGTAAATCAACTCCCGGTGAGTGTTTTCCACAGAGCGTTTCTGATCTGAACAGCTGTGCGCAGCCCCTCGACGGTGAGTTACGGCCGCTGCTCTGTTTCTCCAGGTTTCTGTCAGGCGGGGAAAGACCTCCGGCTGGTTTCCATGGCGACAGAATCCATCGAGGTCCCGGCCGGGTTTGAGCTGGTGGGAGCCAAATCCCCCAGCATCCCCGAGCACATCCTGGTGTGCGCTGTAGACAAGCGCTTCCTGCCGGACGAGAATGGGAAAAATGCACTTTTGGGTGAGTGCAGTGAAGATCTAACGTCGAGTTTAGTGACTTTAAACGTCTGAATGTTGCTATAAATTTAATCAACATTACTTTAAGAATTCTTCAGAAGGAATTACGTAATTACTTTTTTAACTTTAGGCAATTCACAGGACAAAAAAAAAACAAACAAATCGCAAAATAATAAGCATCATTTTGTCTTTTCACTAAAAAAGACCGTATATAAAACAATAACTTTTCATCAAAACACATTTCATAACATTTTGCCTACAAACACAAATGTGGTATGGAATGAAAGTGTGGAATTATAACCGACTTCCTACTAAAAGACAGACAATTTAAGATGTTTCTACCAAGCTACATCTTGAGGATGATGAGGTTTCATGCAGATACTGCAAAATAAGCAGGGCTTCTTCATTTAGCTGGTTAATTTAAGCTCAGTATTGAGGAATGTCTGTTTCCTCCTGTTAGACAGGCTTGACTTTGAGCTTATCAGGCTAAGTGAGAAACCCTGCTGAGAGTGAGCGGTGTGTTGTGCGTTGTGGTGTGTTGGTGCAGGGTTTTCAGGGAGCTGTGTGGGCTGTGGTGAGAAAGGCTTCCGCTACTTCACTGAATTCTCCAACCACATCAACCTGAAGCTGAGCACGCAGCCCAAGAAGCAGAAGCACTTAAAGTACTACCTGGTGAAGAACTCTCAGGGCGCGCTGTGCAAAGGAGCACTCATCTGCTGGAAAGGTAACGGCCAGACTAGACACATCCTAGAAAAACACTTTAATACGCTTGCTAATTAATTAATTAATTAATTAGTTAATTAATCACAGCTAGTTAGAAGACTTGAGTGTTCCTGTGCGCTCTATTTACATATATGGGTCGATGACAAATAAGGTTTTCAAAATGACAGTTTTTTAAAAACCTTATTAAAATGGATCTGATGTGCATTTTTATATCTGCATATTTGTTTCTGCATTTATATATGTATATTTTCTATATTAAATATAGTGTTTTCAAAGCTTTTAATAGCCCATTTCAGTTATTAAACTGTGCTGGTCTTTGACTTACTGGTTGCGCCACCTGACTTTTCAGACTAATTTCAAATTAATAGGCATCTACTTAAACACCTGTAGAACTCTTTGTCCTTGAACTTGAGTTTATACTTACATTTTTCAAATACATAAAAATTATTATAATAATTTATTAATAACATTTTCATGGTTCTCCTGAGGTCAGAACAGATGACATGGTAAACTGAACCGATTTAATCACAACTCAAACATCATATTATTACTAAATTTGTGACCTTGGCATTGTACCATGAAGGTCACGTGGGGTCTTCTTTATGACACATTACCCTAGCCTCTCTTTCTAAAAGCATGCCAAAATAAAAGTCCTTTGTTTTTGGTTGTGCCGCCTAAATTTAAAGAAGTAAGAACTTGCAGACAAACATTTTTCAGTGAGTTGAGCACTGAAAGTTGCCTTATTTTGCAAACTAAGTTTTCAAACTAAATTAAACAACTACTTAATCAATTACAAACAGTCATATGCAAAAGTTTGGGCACCTCTGGTCACAAAAAGAACACATCCTCGACAGGATGCTAATTTTAATGCATGATTTCTATTTGTTTAATATTGGAAAAGCATCAAACAAAATGTGGTGTGTGAAAGTTTGGACACATGCTGCATTTTGTGTTGCTATTTGTTCCAGTACGTTAAATTCACCAAAAAAATTGTGCATTAAAAATTTGCCATATTTAAGTGTGTTCAACACCACATATCATTTGAGGAATGTCCAAAACTTTGCATATGACTGTACTTTTATTACATTCACAGTAGATTTGCATTTTGTATTGACAGAGTTCGCACATTTGACCATTTTACAACAAGAGTGAACACAAAACCAAAGCCTTTCACCAGCACCTTCTCTCTGTCAGAGTATTCTCTGAGAGGTGATATTAGTAAGAGAATAAGACGGTCGCTGCCTCACTGTAATATCTCCCGGTTCTTTGTGCTTGTTTGGTCAGACTGTAAGACGAGGCAGTTTTCTGGAGCGTCTTCATCAAAGCCCACATCCTCCTCATCCTCACTGAGCAGCAAAGAGAACGGAGGGACAAACGGCCACAGTCCATCCTCCCTCTCCCTCTCAGGTAAGAGCCTGTTAGACTGCTCCGGCGTTACGGCTTAACCAGCACACCGTCGTGATCTTCAGCTCACAGTAACGATGCAGTGACTGTATCAGCAGTTCTGCAGTGATGTATCGACTTATCAGCTCAGTTTTGTCCCACATTAATCCGATGTACGGTGAATTATGGCGCTGCGTATTCATTGTGTCACCCATGTACGCTATTTTCATAAGATAGTTCTTGCAAATTGGATCAATGTTGTAAAACCTGAAGCCTTTTAGATCATTTTCATCACTTTTATAGATTCCTGTTACCTGCAGTGCTGTGCAGAAATCTTAGGCAGCCAGGAAATATGTGTAAACTATTTATGTTGTGTAGTTTTGCCAGTAAAACCACTATGTAACATTATGTCCATAAATGTCCAGCTTTCACATGGATTTGTTCAGTTCCATCAGCTAGTTTAACTTAATGAATGATTGATTAGATGGTAACTGAACGTGCTAGAATAGAGCTTTGGAAACGGTTAAGATAACTCACTATATTATTACTATTTATTTGTATTTATTCTAATATTAGTGTTTTCAAGTGTTTACTGCCCAGATAAACAGCATTGTATTGTCTCAGATCCCCAAGGTTTTGGTGCAGTGCTGTATATAAATGTGCAAAATGTGTGGACAAAATTCTTTTTATTATTCTATTTATGAAAACTGTGCTTAATTAATTAAAAATGAATTCAGCCGTTCACTCCATCCACTCCATTCACTCAATTTAGCTGTACATGCTAATGTTGCTAAGAATGAATGGAAGCTAGTAGTCACCAGTTACCATGATGTAGTTTGAGCAATGCTAATCAGTGACCATTCTCTTTCATTCATTGTTAGCAACATTAGCATTATTGACTGAAACATTCTTTTTCATTGATGTATATTTGCCCCCCACAGACTCCCCCCCAGCACGAGGTCAGTCCAGTTCATCTTCAGGAATATTTGGGACTCCTGAACTGGGACGGGAATGCAGCTTCATAAAACCTCTGACCAACACGACACACACCACCAAGACTTTACCCATAGGTAATATGCTCACAGGCACAATACCCCACCAATTTATAACCCACCAGTTAGCATGGTGCTAACTGCATGCCTACACTAATCTGTGTGGAGATGTTCAGTATCTCTAATAGACTTGTTTATGTGGTTTCTGTCACTGTAGAGTTATCTACACCGATCAGGCATAACATTCTGACCACCTCCTTGTTTCTACGCTCATCGTCCACTTTATCAGCTTCACTTACTATATAGGTGCACTTTGTAGTTCTACAGTTACAGACTGTAGTCCATCTGTTTCTCTGATACTTTGTTAGCCCCCTTTTACCCTGTTCTTCAGTGGTCAGGACCCCCATGGACCCTCACAGAGCAGGTACTATCATTCTCAGCACTGCAGTAACACTGACGTGGTGGTGGTGTGTTAGTGTGTGTTGTGCTGGTCTGAGTGGATCAGACACAGCAGTGCTGCTGGAGTTTTTAAACACTGTGTCCACTCACTGTCCACTCAAGTAGACACTCCTACCTTGTCGGTCCACTCTGTAGATGTAAAGTCAGAGACGAGAGCTCATCTGCTGCTGCACAGTTTGTGTTGGTCATCCTCTAGTCCTTCATCAGTGGTCACAGGACGCTGCCCACAGGACGCTGTTGGCTGGATATTTTTGGTTGGTGGACTATTCTCAGTCCAGCAGTGACACTGAGGTGTTTAAAAACTCCAGCAGCACTGCTGTGTCTGATCCACTCAGACCAGTGCAACACACATTAACACACCACCACCATGTCAGTGTTACTGCAGTGCTGCGAATGACCCACCACCCAAATAGTACCTGCTCTGTGAGGTCACGATCTTTACACATCAATATGTATGCAACAACATCATTAAGAAATCACATTATTAACAGAAAACGGCAGAAATAACCGCATTTTTACATCAGCATTAAAGGGTCAAGAGTCAAAGTCATTAATATTCTTCTAAAGAAGAAAGCATGTCTTAGCTGACTGACTAGCTTTTGAGATAAATTCGATTTTAGCGCTTTAAGGCCTCCAAACCTCTGAGCATGTGCACAAACACAGACCCATACATATACAAAATACACCCATAAATCAATAACAAAGAACAAAAACTGCTGTAATGAGACTTTAAAGCTGGTCTGCCCATTAGTCATCTGCCCCCACACTGTGACTGACATCTTCTGTTTGTTGACATTCTCTTTGTGTGGAGAGGCTCGTTATCAATAGATTGACGATTATTGGAAATCAATAAACTCTCCTTCATTTTCTCCTTCAGAAATGAGGCAGGAAGGACGCCCCTTCCATCTAGCGTGTTTTTGAATGTGTGTTAATGTGTGTTTGTTATTTTCAGGGGCCTAAAAGATGTGCTCGATCAGCTGAGACATGTTTGGTGTCCAATTTAGCTTCTTTAGTTCAGAACTGGAGCTGTGCGGCAAACGTTGCTAACACTGGAAGTCAATAGTCACCCAAATTTAAGCTAAATCAAGCAAAATGTGGACTCCAAACATGCCTTGGCTGATCACCTGCATCTGTTGTAAGTGGAAACCTGTGTGAATGTGATTTTTCATACTGAAGGCAGCTCATAGGTTTAATAGTTAATCTGTCAGCATGTTGGGGTTTGTGTGTCCAGTACCCACCGCTCTGAGAGTGAACGGCCTGACGAATGGCCTGAGCGTGGAAGGACGACCCCCTCTGCTGAGCCCCACCCACATAAACCCACTGGCCACGCCAACCCACGGCTACCAGCCAACCGAACAAGGGGACAGTCCAGGTACACCGGACACTGACAGCACTGCTGTTCTCCAGATCATCTCCATATACTGTCTATTCAATATCAGCCAAAAAGACATACAGCACTGTGTGTGACTGGTATCATCGCTGTCAGAGCAAAAGCTTGTATCTCCTAAAATATATATATATATATATATATATATATATATATATATATGTATGTATGTATGTATGTGTATATAGTTTGACATGAGTTTGACATGTTTAATAGATTGTCTAAGTGAAATTAACTCTCCTTTACAGAGAGCAGACTTACATTTGGTATCTTTCTGCAAATTTAAGTGCCAAATTTCTGTTAATGTTAGAAAAAAAACAAAACAAAACATAAAATATATAATTTAAAAAATGTAAAAGACCACATTTTATGTTTTATTCCCCCCTAATATTTTCCATTCAGACGATAAACAGTAGTTGTGCATTAAAATGTCATGTCATGCAGGTTTTATAATTCATTGATTTTGTGCATAAAGCAGTGTAAATCGTCCTTTGTGGGCTGTACAGGAAGGTGATTTTTCTCTTCTGCACTCTCTTTCCCAGCATCCTCTGCCATGTCGTCTGGCCCTCCTAAGAAGCGTCACCGCAGTTGGCACCCGTCCTCCGCTGTACCCGTCCCGGTGCCGGCCATCCGCCCTCTGCCCTGTGGATCAGGTGGGTCTTTTAAACCCTGTACACACTTCCACACCAACAAGTTTATTATTATTATTATTATTATTATTATTATTATCATTACTATTTATTATTGTGGCTGCTGCAGATTCAGTTTTAGTCACTGATCTGTACTCTGTCGCCCCCTTGTGTTCTGAGGGCTGTAACTGCCTCAGTAACATATAAAATCCTGACCAGTTCAGACCAGTGTGACCAAACACAGAGAGCACCTGTATAACCGGACAAAAAGAGCGAGAGTAATGGACGACATTTCTGTGTGGTCCTAAACGCCATAATTCATTTCTACATGACCATTATCCAGCCTCCCTTTACTCCTGTTACTATGCCTTTGAGACGGATATATGCAAATGAGCTTTGTTCTCATTGGCTGTCTTGCATTGTGCCTTATTCCTAAAGCAGTTTGAGCTGAAACGCTCCTGTAAGCTAACCTTGACTAAGCCGAACAGGCAGATATATGCATATGCATTGGTTTTTGTGACATCACAAGGTTTTGGGTTTGGTTCAGTCCAGTAACTTTAAGTTAAATTTGCAAGGAATTAACTAAATACTGAGTATTTGTACTGCGTTTCATTCTCAGGTTCTCTGCTGTCCTTAGCCAACCAGCCAGCCCTGTCAGTGTCAGGTGTCATCCAGCCCCAGCCAATCACGGCGGGAGAAACCGTCATCATCCCTGACAACCTGCTCAACAACTCCGGGGTCCGACCCGTCATCCTCATTGGTGAGAAACGACTCAGAAACAGTTATTACGCATGCATGTTTGGACTTTCACAGTGTTTTAGTATAAATAATGATGTTTACTTTTTTTGGTTTGCAGTAACTGACCATGTTATAGTCCAGTCAGCTTTATTCAGTATTAAACAACATCAGGAAACACTTCCCTGTAGGCTGCATAAGACTGCTCAGGACGACTGACATAAACCTACACAGTTGTTTATAAGGGCTTTTCCAACAGGCGTCAGCTGCTGATGAGAACCGACACTAAAATCCACACTGGAAACTGGAAAAAGCCTTTATAAATGTTTATGCAGGTTTATGTCAGTTGTGGACGTCTGGTTCCCATCACCACCACAGCATTTCACAGCAAACCACTCTCTCTCTCTCTCTCTCTCTCTCTCTCTCTCTCTCTCTCTCTCTCTCTCTCTCTCTCTCTCTCTCTCTCTCTCTCTCTCTCTCTAGGTCAGGGAGCGTTGCCGTACTTCTTCGGTAATGTGGGTGATGTGATGGTGAGCCCCCTGCTGGTCAGCTGTTATAACTGCGCTCAGCTGAGTGAGAAGACTCTGCTCAGTTTGGGTCTCACGGTCAGTCAGCTGCCCTCCACAGAGACCCTCATCTTACTGACCCTGCAGTACCTCGCACGCCTCGGTAAACACAGCACCCCGTACGCTCTACTGCAGCCTGTCACGATCATAACCATCATTAATCAGTTATGATAATCATTACTATAATACGGCCGCGGCCCTATCTGGACTAAGCAGTTAATGATGATGATGATGATTACTATAATACGAATTATATTAATAGCTAAATATATATAATATGATACTAAATAGCTAAATAAATCCTTTATTTATGTATTTATTTATATATTAGTTTGTTTATATATTTGTTTGTTTTTACTGGGACAGAACAAGATAAATAATGGTAAATAAATAAATAAGTAAATCATGAAAATTAGCTTGTGTAATAATATAATGCATTATTATTGTTGCTATTGGTGTTTCATAAGGACAACACACATTATGAAGTAATAATAATAATAATAATAACAATAATAATTACCATCATCATAACATTATAACAAACACGTAAATATTTTAATAGTAAACATTCGTCATGTAATTCATTATCATTATCTTTATTGTAATAATAATAATAATAATAATAATAATATTATTATTATTATTATTATTATTATTGATTATTTTCTCTAGGCATGTTTGTTTACTTATTTGTGGATTTATTTATCATAATTATTACATTGCATTTATTTTATCCTATTAATTGTAATTAATGTCTTTATTACTTATTATTGTTGTTATTATTATATTTATTATGACTGTTATTATCAGTAGCAGCATTGAGAATGTTAGTTAAATATCTCTCTCTCTCTCTCTCTCTCTCTCTCTCTCTCTCTTGTCTCTCTCTCTGTCTCTCTGTGCTGGTGTCTCAGGTCCTGAGCAGATCCCGCTGCGTGAGGAGTTTGAGCAGATTGTGTTGAACGCTGTGCTCTGCGGACCCCCCGGACCACCCGTGTCTCCAGCTCAGCTGCCCTGGCTGGCCCGCCTGGAGGCCAGCGTGTCGGGGGGAAGCGTGCAGGTGCTGGTCACTCAGGGGTCTCTGGGGGAGGGCATTTCAGAGACGCTGCGCTTGCTCAGCGAGACGGCCCCCCTGCAGCAGCAGAGACTGCCCAGCTATGTCCTCATCGTCCACACGGCCAGCAGCGGAGCCAGCGACTTCTGCGTCATGGTGCTGGGTGAGGAGCGCTCGGCGGGCACACACACACACACAATGTATATATATGTATGCACACAGCTTACTGAAACATTTCTGAGTCTGACTGTCTCTGTCCCTTCTCAGTTAAAGGGCCCATATCATGGACAAATAAGAGTTTTGTGAAGTATATGAACAATAAAATAAGAGTCTTCACTCTTCAGTCCATACAGTCCATACATGGACACTACCCTGTAAAAAATAACAAACAAACAAAAAGAAATTGAACTGAAAATTGAAATCAATTAAAAATTCATTTGCAATTTTATTTTATTGTTTAAATTAATTTAAAATTTATTGAACTTCAATAATAAGTCAACAGAACCTTATACACAGATTCCCCGTCACTATTAGAAGTTATTAGAAGAAAAATGCTGTTTTCATGTAAAAAAGTTCACTGCCTTCAGTTAAGGAAGTGAACATTTTTACATTAAAACAGAATTTTTCCAGTGTGACCTGTAAAAACATCACTTTTTGAATTCATTGTTTTTGTGATGTCACAAAAACCCAACACTTTTACAAATACCTGCCTAATCAGCCAGCAGCAGTTTAGCTCCGCCCACTCAAGCTGAGGTTATACAGAGTGTTTCAGTCCAGATTGCCTTCTGAACGTGGCACAGCCAATCAGAACTGAACTCATTTACATATATCAGTCTTAAAGGTGCAGTAGCAGAAACAGCCTGTTTCATCATAAGAGATAGAGGATGGAAAATGATCATGTAGAAATGACTGTTTTTGGTACACCCTGCGATGGACTGGCGACCTGTCCAGGGTGTATCCTGCCTTCCGCCCAATGACAGCTGGGATAGGCTCCAGCACCCCACTGCAACCCAGAAGGATAAGCGATTAAGATGATGTGTGTGTGTGTGTGTGTGTGTGTGTGTTTGGTACACACTAATGTTGAAGGTGGACGTAGGATATGGGCTAGAAGTAGAAAACATCCCTTTAAAGGCTTGTTTATCATGAAGCAGTGCTGACGTGGTCTGTTTTCTCATGCTCATCCGGTGTTTTCCAGGTAAATATCAGTCCAGAGCGCTGGCGGAGGGCATGCTGACCACCAACGAGTTTCTGAAGGAGATCAGCTACGAGCTCATCACGGGGAAGGTCTCAGTGCTGGCCGCTCACTTCAACAAGACTTCACTAGGTCAGTCCAGCTCCAAACACCAGAAACATAGAAAGAGTGCTGGCCTTCCACTGAAGAAGACCTCAGATTAGCGACTCTGTACCAGGAGCAGTGAAACACAGCAGCTTAACTGCCTCTGTACTGAGTTATCATGGTAAAAGGGGAATCCCACCAAAATAACTCAGTGTGTGTGAGATTTAATCAGAGTGGTTCAGAGCGGTTTGGTGTGAAATGGTTCAGATGTCTTTACAGTGGTGGTGATAGGAACCAGGGGTCGCCATGACTACAACACTAATATAGACATTTTATTTACTATCCAGAACCACCAGTGAACCTACACGAGTCTTCTGAGTTTATATGGAATGTTGATGATGGAAAATAGTGGAAAATCTGGAATAATAAGTTTTCTTTGGGGACTATTTTGCCTCACAGCGCCCTGCGTGTATCCCTCCACCATGAATGGATTATGATATATTTGATTTTTAGACTAAAATCTTGTCACACAACTGTCATAAAACAGCGTCTCAGTCATCAGGCAGTGAATTCATAACCATTTCATGTAGTAACTTTCTGTGAGGGAGCTTTTAGAGGTGGACGTCTGGTTCCTATCACCACCACTGTAAACAATTCTGACTCCGTAAGTTTCTCTAGAACAGAGCGTTTCACACCAAACCACTCTGAACGACTCTGTTTACATATTAACCAGTTAATTACGCAGAGATTTAGAGAAATTGGTGGAGTTTCCCTTTAAGGTGGTTTTGAGTGAGTTTGGTGAGTTAGTGTGTTTACGTGTGTGTGTGTGTGTGTGTGTGTGTGTGTGTGTGTGTGTGTCAGGTGATGATCTGGAGAAGGAGCTGGTCCGGTATCAGAGGAGGAGGAAGCAGCAGGTGGTCCAGCCGTTTCTATCTGACCTCAACGAATATGTCCACTGTGAGGAGGCCGCCACCATGGTGCCGGACATGGGGAGCGGTCTGTCACTCATACTGATTATCTCTCTGCCTGCCTGTTTGTCTGCATATCTATCTATCTATCTACCTATCTATCTATCTATCTATCTATCTATCTATCTGTCTGTCTGTCTGTCTGTGTGTATCTGTCTGTCCGTCTGTCTGTGTGTGTGTCTCTCTCTCTGTATCAGTCTGTTTCTGTTTTTATTTCTCTGTCTGTCTAGTTTTGTGTTGATTTAAGCACTTATGTATTTATTTGTATGATGAATGTCGAGTTTATTTGGATGTAGATGGGTTTGTCTGGATGCTGGTGTGTTTGTCTGAATGCTGGTGTGTTTGTCTGAATGCTGGTGTGTTTGTCTGGATGCTGGTGTGTTTGTTTGGAGACTGGTGTGTTTGTTTGAGCTCTGTGTTGTTGTTTATTTTGTTCTCAGAGCTGCTGAATGAGGTGTTTCAGATTAACCCTCCTCAGCTGAGTGTAGCGCGGAGTCTGCTGTCTCTGGTGTGTGGAATCGCAGACTCAGGCAGTCACAGTCTGGACCTCGGCCGATTCTGTAAGGTCGACTTCCTGGTGCTGGTGCCTCCCTCACACGTGCTGCTGCATCAGACGGCCCGCCGCATCCACCAATCAGGTGAGGCCTTAGACACTTACTTGAATTCACCTGAACTTTCCTGTATCCAAACCCACCTGATCTTATCCAGACTAACACACCCAAACTCACCTTAACTCACCCAAACCCACCTGATCTTATCCAGACTAACACACCCAAACTCACCTTAACTCACCCAAACCCACCTGATCTTATCTAGACTAACATATCCAAACTCACCTTAACTCACCCAAACTCACCTGATCTATCCAGACTAACTCACTCACTGTATCCACTCATTCACTCACTAAACCCACCTGATCTTATCCAGACTAACATACCCAAACTCACCTGATCTCACATGAACTCACCTGATCTCACCTGAACTTAATTGACTTTACCCAGGTTTCCAAGAACATACCCAAACTTATCCGAACTCACCCAAACTCACCTGAATTTACACAGAATTGCCGAAACATGGCCAAACTTTTCTGAACTTTTTTGTTCTCACTTATCACCCAAAGTCAGCTTAAGTCATGTGAACTTACCTGAACTTATCTGCAGTCACTTGAACTCACCCAGACTCTCCTAAACTCAGTTTGGCTTATCCAGAATCACCTGAACTCAGCTGAGAAGCTCAGTCACTGTCTGACTCACTGTTTTAAACTGAGGAGATGTGTTTTTAATGCAGACGCATTAAAGACATTTCAGTATTGTTTATTGAATCAGTGGAAATGATCCCAATTTAAGTCAAAATAAGATGACAACTCTCAAGATTTCAAAGTTGACTATTTTTGTTCATTACTATTTGCATTCTGATTAATAATAAGAATGGTAATAATTTTATGTCAGGTGTGCTGGTGGATCTGGGGATGGAGGACGCCTCCTCAGCGCTGCAGAAAGCAGAGAAGTATGTGGCTCGTCTGGACAATGAGGTTCACAGCAGGATGGAAGCCTTCATGAGGAAAGTCAAACAGAACCCGTATACGCTGTTCGTCCTCATCCACGACAACTCACACATCGACCTGACCAGGTACACACACACACACACACCTGACTGGGTACAAACACACACACCTGACCGGGTACAAACACACACACCTGACCAGGCACAAACACACACCTGGCCACTTACACACCCACACCTGACCAAGTACACACACACACCTGACCAGGTATGCACACACCTGACCAGGTACAAACACACACACCTGACCAGGCACAAACACACACTTGGCTACTTACACACACACACACCTGACCAGGTACAAACACACACACCTGACCAGGTATACACACACACCTGACCAGGTACAAACACACACCTGACCACTTACACACACACACCTGACCAGGTACGCACACACCTGACCAGGTACAGACACACACACCTGACCAAGTACACACACACCTGACCAGGTACACACACACACCTGACCACGTATACACACACACCTGACCAGATATACACACACACCTCACCAGGTACAAACACACACACCTGACCAGGTACAAACACACACACACCTGGCCAAGTACACACACACACCTGACCAGGTATACACACACACCTGACTGGGTACAAACACACACACCTGACCAGGTACAAACACACACACACCTGACCAAGTACACACACACACCTGACCAAGTACACACACACATCTGACCAGGTATACACACACACCTGACCACTTACACACACACACCTGACCAAGTACACACACACACCTGACCAGGTACAAACACACACCTGACCACTTACACACACACACCTGACCAAGTACACACACACACCTGACCAGGTACAAACACACACCTGACCACTTACACACACACACCTGACCAGGTACGCACACACCTGACCGGGTACACACACACCCAGGGTACAGACAGGGAGACTGTGTATGAACTAAATCCTAATAAAAAACCTCTTTTGTACTGAAATATGAATTTGCTGTAGTATGTAGTATAAACACTGTTACTTAGTGTCCTGTTCACTGTCACAGTCCGTACAGTCCATGGTCCATCCCCAGCTCTCTCACTCTTTAACTCTCAAAAATGGTTGTCAAATATTCATTTATTTTGGTATATAAACCCTCACAAACCTCAGAAGTCGACCTAAAAAATCTAAATTTGGGCCCTACTGATGTAGCTCAGCGTATTGTTCCTTTAAACTTACAGGCTGATGTTTTTAAGCTTCTCGTTTTGTATCAAATCACAGAAGAAGTTATTATAATATATGGATATTGTATAGAAATAACCAGCCATGATGTATCATTTGCCAGCCATTATATAATTAGAATTACTGGCCGTAGATGACTGCAGTATAATTCCAGGTTAAGCTTTGTCCAGTCATTAATACTAAGCATATAATTCTTTATCTCTCTCTCTCTCTCTCTCTCTCTCTCTCTCTCTCAGTTCTATGTCAGGCTCGGTCTCTCATGGCGAGCTGCAGGGTCTGGCGGACCGGGTGGTGAACTGTGCGGAGGTTCTGGAGGCGGAGAACGTTCTGGTGCTGCAGGTCAGCTCCTTCCCCTTCACCCTGCAGAGCCACCAGTCACGCATCAGCGTCCACAACGAGGTCCACTGGCCCAGCAACCACCACTCAACTGTGAGTACACCTGACCCCCGGGCATATATATATATATATAAAACATCCTGGGGAAAAAAATGAGGCCTGTGGAAAAGTTATGGCACTAATAATATTATATTATTTATATTATATTATTAATATTAATATTTTATGTTTTGTTATTTTTTTCCAATTTGTTAAATTCAGTAAATAAACAGTAATTGTGTATTAAAATGAATGATGTATTTTCACTTATTTTCACTTATTTTCACGTAGAAAATCAACAACACTGAATTTGACCTCAGCAACTACTACCTTTACTTCTGCTGCTGCTGTTGTTACTGTTATTATTGTTATTCTGATCATCTTCTGTATATCTTCTTTTATAATATTAAATACAGTCATATTCCTTTAAAATAATAATAATCCTGCGCTGTTATATTGTTTAACTCTGTAGTAATCGATCCCTCTTCCCTCCAGCAGGGGGAGCTGTCTCCTAAAGACCTGGTGTACTTTGGGCTGAAGGACTACAGCCGCTCTCTGCAGTGGGGCGTGGCCAGCCCCATTCTGCGCTCTGACGACGCCTTTGAGAGGATGGTCAGCGCCCTGCTCGAGCGGTCAGTCACTTTACACCGAGCTTCTGAGTTTATACTGATTTACCCCTGACAGTGCAGCGTGTCGGACGCAATGTGTGTGATTACATCACAGTTCCAGCCCAGCATCCATATTTTATAATGTTCTTCTCTAATACAAAACACAGCAGGGTGCATAAAACAGGAGGAAGAAAGTAGCAAAGAACGAAAGAACACACAGATAAGAGTAAAAAGATAAAAGAACACACATAAGAGTAAAAAGATAAAAGAAACAAAAGCAAAGTGTTAAAATAAGGAGTGAATAAGTGAAAAGTTTGAAAATTTTATGAAAATAAGACAAATAGAATGAAGGAAAATAAACATTATATTATGTGGTGGGATATTATACAGTTACTCAGTTACACGATAGGGTGGTCTTCAGTTATACAGTTACTCAGTTACACGATAGGGTGGTCTGCAGTTATACAATTACTCAGTTACACAATATGGTGGTCTTCAGTTATACAGTTACTCAGTTACACGATAGGGTGGTCTGCAGTTATACAGTTACTCAGTTACACGATATGGTGGTCTGCAGTTATACAGTTACTCAGTTACACGATATGGTGGTCTTCAGTTATACAGTTACTCAGTTACACGGAACACCCTCAGTTACACAGTATAATGGTCTGTAGTTTTTTGCTTGTTTTATTTATCTATCTGTCTATCTATCTATCTATCTATCTATCTATCTATCTATCTATCTATCTATCTATCTATCTATCTATCTATCTATCTATCTATCTATCTATCTATCTATCTATCTATCTATCTTCTGTCTCTCAGACATCCTCAGTTACACAGCATGGTGGTCCGCAGTTACCTGCTGATTCAGCAGTATACGGAGGCCCTGATGGCTCTGACCGTGTGTCCATCGCTGCGTGACCATGTGACCCCTCAGACGCTGGTGATGGTTGAGTGCGTGCTGCGGAGCGGGGGCCGCGGGGGGCGGGGCCACATGCTGCTGGTGCGCGTGCCCTCTCTGCAGCTGGCGCGGCTGGCGCGGGAGCGTCTGGAGGAGGCGCAGGAGAGGCTGGGGCTGCAGTACAGGTTCGCCGTGCTGCTCGGAGGACCGGCGGCCAAAATCAGCCTCGCCAAACACTTCTGCGCTCGACTGAGGGTGAGGACTCACACACTAGCACCAGAGGCTAAACACCCCTGGAGAAAGGACATGTTGTTGAGTGTCTACGTGTAAATAAGTTAACGTCTCCTCTACAGAGACACACTTAACTATGACACTTTCTACTAATTTAGTGCACAATTTCTATTAATTTGATGAAGTGTGCCATAACTTTTGCACAGACCACATTCTCTATAGAGGATGTGTTCACATTTACACTCAGAAAATCAACAACAACATGTGAATTTGACCAGGGGTGCCAAAATATATATCACTGAGCAAAACCTCATATCTCCCAAATGGTAACTTCACAGGAGAAGGAAAAAAGCCTGCTTTGCTTTTAATGTAAGTCAATGGAACCAGACTTTTTATCAAGTTATCTTGGCCCGTTTCTTGTAGGCCATTCATCATGAAATTTACAAACAATATAAAGGACAACAGGCATTTTCAAATTATATAAAAAACTGAAAAACAAGCAAAATATTTTATATATATGTATGTATTTTTATATACATATATATAAATATGTAATTTACTTTTATTTTTTGGGCATGTCTGTATCATTTGAGGGACAGAAATGCTCCAAAAATTACTTGGCACAAAATTTAAATGAACTTATATTGAAAATAAAGGATGTTTTTGCGCTCTCCTATAAAGTTACCATTGTAGAGATGCTTGTTTTTCTTTGGACAGCAACGTATAATATATAAAGCTCTCTCTGAAGAACGTCTATCATGAAAAACAAAGAAAGTTCTTGAAGGTGGTCTATAATGCATTTTGGAACAAAAAAGAACACACAGAAAAAATCTTCCTTTAAAGCTTTTCTGTACATTCAAGTCACACATAGACATACTCGCTCACATTGACCTAAAACTTGGTGTTTACTGAAGATGTTTGCGTGTTCTGCAGGCGTGGCGTGGCTGTAAGAATGAAGACTGGGTTCCCCTCACCTACGAAGATTTGGAGGATTTGCCCTGTATCGTAATCCTGACAGGGAAAGACCCTCTCGGAGAAACTTTCCCCAGGTAACCACAAACACAGTCACATGACAACCGGTAGGAGCTGCAGGTGGGGGTTAAAGCGATAGTTTGGATGATGTGCACGGCTCTATGCTTCACTGCAAATGTAGTCAGTCAAGACATGTTTTGTCTTCTTTAGTTTTGCACTGGAGCTACAAGGCTAATGTAGCCGACAAGTAATTGAAGCATATGTACACCAATTAGCATTGTGCTAACTGTTAGCCTGAATCGTTCAGTCATAGTCTGCACACATGCAGGTTAGCGCTTGGTCAAAGATAATTTAATATGCTTGTGTTCCTCCAGGTCTCTGAAGTACTGCGACCTGCGTCTGATTGACTCCAGCTACCAGACCCGCACGGCCCTGGAGCAGGAAGTGGGTGTGGCCTGCTCATATGTCACCCGCAGGGTGATTCCTGATGCCATGGCAACCGCAGGCCGGGAGGAGGAGCGGAGAGAGGAAGATGAAGACGAGGAAGACCGAAGTGCAGAGCCAGACGACCTGCAGATGGAGCTGGAGAGACCGCCGAGCAACGGCAGCACCACCACCAGAGCGTCCGGTGAGACACTAACGAGAAAGATCACTACTGAGCAAGATCACTAACAAATCAGATCACTAACGAGCCAGGTCACTAACGAGCCAGATCACTAACGAGCCTGATTACTAACAAATCAGATCACTAATGAGCTGAGACACTTACAAGCTAGATCATTAATAAACAAAATCACTAACTAGATCACTAACAAACCTCTTTACTAATAAACCTCATCACTAACAAACCAGATCACTAACAAACCTCTTTACTAATAAACCTCATCAACAACAAACTAGATCACTAACAAACCTCCTCACTAACAAACTAGATCACTAACAAACTAGATCACTAACAAACCTCTTTACTAACAAACCAGATCACTAACAAACCAGATCACTAACAAACCAGATCACTAACAAACCTCTTTACTAATAAACCTCATCACTAACAAACTAGATCACTAACAAACCTCTTTACTAACAAACCAGATCACTAACAAACCAGATCACTAACAAACCTCTTTACTAATAAACCTCATCAACAACAAACTAGATCACTAACAAACCTCTTTACTAATAAACCTCATCACTAACAAAGTAGATCACTAACAAACCTCCTCACTAACAAACTAGATCACTAACAAACCAGATCACTAACAAACCTCCTCACTAACAAAGTAGATCAGTAACAAACCTTGTCACTAACAAACCAGACCACTAACATGCCAGATCACTAACGAACCTGATCGCTAATAAACCAGATCAATAACAAACCAGATCACTAATGAACCTCAACCCTAACAAACCAGATCACTAATGAATCTCATCACTAACAAACCAGACCACTAACATACCAGATCAATAATGAACCAGATCACTAATGAATCTCATCACTCACAAAGCAGATCACTAAAAAACAAGATCACTAACAAGGAACACCAGTGAGTAGCACGGTCATTAACTGACATTAAATTAAATTCACTCTCTCTCTCTCTCGCTCTCTCTCTGTCTCTCTCTCTCTCCCTCCAGGCTCCCTCACAGAAAACAACGTCAGCTCCTCTGGTGTTCCTGACTCCTCCCACAAACCTTTCCCTTGCTCCGCCTCCTCCCAAACTGAAGCAGGCAGTAACAGTGTCTTCACAGACTCCAGCACCTCCCCTCACCACCTCAAACAGGAGTGTGACTCTCAAGGCCTCCCCACCTCCTCCTCCTCCTCAGCTCTTCCCTCGTTCTCCTCTTCATCCTCCTCTTCTTCCTCCTCTTCCTCTTCCTCCTCCTCCTCCTCCTCCTCTGCCTCTCCCGGAGCTCAGAGACCCACCCAGTCCACCCAGACTGCCCGTAAGCTGCGGGTTTTCCCTCGGACGGTGGTGCTGTCTCAGGCTGCGTACAGACTGCTGGCCCCGGAGGCGGTGGGTCATCCCAGCTCGGGCTCCCTCCTCCCCCACGGAGATTTAGCCTGGTCCGTACCCCTCAGACCACCTGTACCGAACCACCTGGGCCCGATCGAACAATCACAGTACTATCGGCAGTGGACGACCGCGCGGCCGCAACATGCAGATTATAACGGACCTGGTACTGTCCATCCCAGGAGGCTCCTGCTGAGTGGACCGCCGCAGGTCAGAACCACAACATTTCTCACGCTTGTGTGGGTTTATATACCGAAAACAGCTGGAATTAATTTCTACACAACTATTTTCCAACCTGTCTTTATCCCTCAGGCTTAAACAGGCTCATTTAGTTACTGTGCCTTTAAGACTGATATACAGTCACAATCAAAAGGTCAAATTATATATTTCATTGATTTTCTAAGTGAAAATCGTAGGTGCCCAAAGCTTTGCATACAAATGTATGTAAATGAGCTCTCATCTGATGGGCTTATTTGTATTGTGCCTTATTCAAAATGTGTAGAAATGTGAGTGTGTCCTGTGTTGTTGAGGACAGTCCCCGTCTCAGACACTCTGTGTGGGTCTGTGTGTGTGTCTGTGTGCTGTAGGTGGGTAAGACAGGTGCGTACCTGCAGTTTCTGCGGATCCTGTTCCGGATGCTCATCCGCCTGCTGGAGGTGGACGTGTACGACGAAGAGGAGATAGAGGAGGGTGAGGGAGCAACTCCACTCTGTTCTGTTCCTTTCAGTTCTGTTCTGTTTTAGTTCTGCTCTTTTATTGGGTTCAATTCTATTCTTTTCTATTCTGTTCTGATTTGGTTCTGCTCTTCTATTGTGTTCTATTCTATTCTGTTCCATTCTATACCGTTCTGCTCTATTCTATTCTATTCTGTTCTGATCTATTCTATTCTATTCTGTTCCATTCTATTCTATTCTATTCTGTTCCATTCTATACCATTCTGCTCTATTCTATTCTATTCTGTTCTATTCTATTCTATTCTGTTCCATTATATACCGTTCTGCTTTATTCTATTCTATTCTGTTCTATTCTATTCTATTCTGTTCCATTATATACCGTTCTGCTTTATTCTATTCTATTCTGTTCCATTCTATACCGTTCTGCTCTATTCTATTCTATTCTATTCTGTTATATTCTGTTTTGATTTGGTTCTGCTCTTCTATTCTGTTCTATTCTATTCTATTCTATTCTGTTCCATTATATACTGTTCTGCTTTATTCTATTCTATTCTGTTCTATTCTATTCTGTTCCATTCTATACTGTTCTGCTCTATTCTATTCTATTCTATTCTGTTTTGATTTGGTTCTGCTCTTCTATTCTGTTCTATTCTATTCTATTCTGTTCCATTATACACCGTTCTGCTTTATTCTATTCTATTCTATTCTATTTTGATTTGGTTCTGCTCTTCTATTCTGTTCTATTCTATTCTGTTCCATTCTATACCGTTCTGCTCTATTCTATTTTATTCTATTCTATTCTATTCTGTTTTGATTTGGTTCTGCTCTTCTATTCTGTTCTATTCTATTCTGTTCCATTCTATACTGTTCTGCTCTATTCTATTCTATTCTATTCTATTCTATTCTGTTCCATTCTATACCGTTCTGCTTTATTCTATTCTATTCTGTTCTATTCTATTCTGTTCCATTCTATACCATTCTGCTCTATTCTATTCTATTCTGTTCTATTCTATTCTGTTTTGATTTGGTTCTGCTCTTCTATTCTGTTCTATTCTATTCTGTTCCATTCTATACCGTTCTGCTTTATTCTATTCTATTCTGTTCTATTCTATTCTGTTCCATTCTATACCGTTCTGCTCTATTCTATTTTATTCTATTCTATTCTATTCTATTCTATTTTGATTTGGTTCTGCTCTTCTATTGTGTTCTATTCTATTCTGTTCCATTCTATACCGTTCTGCTTTATTCTATTCTATTCTGTTCTATTCTATTCTATTCTGTTTTGATTTGGTTCTGCTCTTCTATTCTGTTCTATTCTATTCTGTTTTGATTTGGTTCTGCTCTTCTATTCTGTTCTATTCTATTCTGTTCCATTCTATACCGTTCTGCTCTATTCTATTCTGTTCTGTTCTATTCTGTTCTGATTTGGTTCTGCTCTTCTATCGTGTTCTATTCTGTTCCATTCCATTCCGTTCTGCTCTATTCTATTCTATTCTGTTCTGGTTTGTTCAGTTCCACTCTTTTTTGTACTGTTCTATTTTGTTCTATTCTATTCTGTTCTGTTCTTTTCTGTTCTCTCCATTATTCTGATTTTTTTTCTTCTATTCTGTTTTGGTTTATTTCAAATAAATTCTTTACTGCTCTGTTCGATTCGATTCGATTCTATTTCATTCTATTCTATTCTGTTTGTTTTGTTCTGTTTCATTCCATTCTGTTCAGTTCTATTCTGTTCTGTTTCATTCTTTTCTGTTCTGTTCAGTTCTATTCTGGTTTGTTCAATTCTTTTTTGTTTTTTTCTGCTCTATTTTGTTTTATTCTATTCTGTTCTGTTGTGTTTTACTATATTCTGTTCTGTTCTTTTCTATTCTGTTTTGGTTTATTTCAAATAAGTTCTTTACTGTTCTTTTCAGTACTACTCTATTCTATTCTATTCTATTCTGTACTGTACATTTGTGCTCTGTTCAATTCTACTTTGGATTTTATTCTATTTTGATTTTGTTCAAGTCTATTCTGTTCTTTATGCAGTCATGCTCTGTTTAAGGGTATTCTACATTGGATTCTATTCTATTTTGATGCTACCCAGGTCTATTCTATTCTATTCTATTCTATTCTATTCTATTCTACTCTATGCTGCTCTATTTTATTCTATTCCATTCTAGTCTGTTTTATCCTGTGCACCTCTGTTGTTTTCCGTTCTGTTCTGTAAAATGTAATGTATTTCTCAGATGTATGTGTCAGGTGGGCACTTCATCCACTCTAACTGACTAAAGCAGTGGGTGTGAGTAAAAGGATAATGAGATACATGAATGTAGACTAGAGGGTTCATAATCTGAGTGTACAAACTGGGAACAGTAGATGTTATAAGGCGCTAGTCTGTTATGTCAGACATCTATATGACTGTCAACTGAGGGGCTGGATTTCAGCACTGCAGAGCTGCTGACTGGAACTCTAATGACCTATCTCTTTATGTCCTGCAGATGTAGTGGAGGATCCTGAGGCTCCAGTGTCCAGTGGCCTGCAGTGGCCTGACCTGGAGGATATTCAGAAGATGACCTTTGACCCCTGCCCTCGTGACGCCAAATTCAGGCACTGCAGTGCGGTGTATTCAGACAGGAGTGCACAGAGACTGAACGGTACATCTCAGCCTGAGCGTCTCAGTCATTCAGAGTTATCTGACGTGAAAAGGTTATTTATAGAGAAGCTTACAGACTACAGTGGTGGTGATAGGAACCAGGGGTCACCATGACTACAACATGATGATGATGGTAAAAGAGTGCTAAATCTGAAACAGTACATTTTCTTTGAGGACTGCTTTGCCTCACAATACCCTCCATGCATCCCTCCACCAAGATGGATATTTAAAAGGCCAGAATCGTCTTAAACCCACTGTAAAACAGTGTCTCAGGCATCAGGCAGTGAATTCATAACCATGGAATAACTTTCTGTGAGGGAGCTTTTAGAGGTGGACGTCTGGTTCCTATCACCACCACTGTGAACAGTCCTGAGCATTTCACATCAGATCCCTCAGAACGGCTTGGTTTAAATTTTAAATGTTTATTAAAAAAGAAATTTTAAACTTTTGAAAAACCAGTGGAATGCCCCTGTCTGAATGATCCTGTCTGTACAGAATTTAGTGCACTTATTAACTTATTTTTATTTCTTTATGTGTTTATGTTTGTGTTGTGAAGGTGTGAAGAGAGAGAAGTGTGAGGAGAGCGGAGAGATGAAGAGGAACACAGTGTCCATCAGGCTCAGCAAGTTCGCAGCCCACAATGCATTTCACCACTGCGAGCAGTGCCATCATTACAGTGAGCCTGGACCTGCCCGACCTGTGAGTTACACCTATACTCAAACCTAATGGGTTCACTCACACTCATACTCAATCCTGATTGGCTCACTCACCCTCATACTCAATCCTGATTGGCTCATTGACACTCATACTCAACCTGATTGGCTTACTCACCCTCATACTCAATCCTGATTGGCTCACTCACCCTCATACTCAATCCTGATTGGCTCATTGACACTCATACTCAACCTGATTGGCTTACTCACCCTCATACTCAATCCTGATTGGCTCACTCACCCTCATACTCAATCCTGATTGGCTCATTGACACTCATACTCAACCTGATTGGCTTACTCACCCTCATACTCAATCCTGATTGGCTCACTCACCCTCATACTCAATCCTGATTGGCTCATTGACACTCATACTCAACCTGATTGGCTTACTCACCCTCATACTCAATCCTGATTGGCTCACTCACCCTCATGCTCAATCCTGATTGGCTCATTAACACTCATACTCAAACCTGATTGGCTCACTCACCCTCAGGCTCAATTCTGATTGGCTCACTCACCCTCATGCTCAATCCTGATTGGCTCATTGACACTCATACTCAAACCTTATTGGCTCATTCACAATCATACTCGATCCTGGCTCATACATGTATGCATATATATATATATATATATATATATATATATATATATATATATATATTTTATAAATCATTTATAAATGAACACTGTCACATTACTACTGTGCATTTAACCTTTACAGTGTTTTCCAGTCATCAGTTGAAACTTGTCAAAAATACAATATATAATATGAATGCATGAATGCATATGTGATGTGTGTGTGTTCTGTGTGTGCAGCTGTCTGACTGCACTTTCCATGCGTTCACCTTCTGCTCCTCGATGCTGGGGGAGGAGGTGCAGCTCCACTTCGTCATCCCGAAAAACAAAGAGCGGCATTTCATCTTTAGCCAGCAGGGGCGCCACCTGGAGAGCATGAGGCTGCCTCTGATCTCTGACCAGGTCAGAACACCACAGCACAACCAGAGGATACAGTGATTCTCACAGCACTGATCAGGGAACCTCAGATGATCCAGATTTTGGCTCCAACCTAACTTGTAACACATATGGAGAGAGCAAAGAAGTGGACCATCTGAGGGTTCCTGAGGACTGGTTTGAGAACCACTGCTGTAATATCCCCCTGTATTCACATATCAGCGTCATGTGGGTGTGGAAATGCATCTGGAAGTGGAGATTTAATTGACCTAATTTTGAAGTGTTAGAACAGATTACAAGCTTAGGGAAAATAAAACTACCTGTGTGTAGCCAGAAACTGACCAATGGTGAATGAAGTAGAGGAACAGCAGATGGACGAAAGTCTGTAACTGTACCCGGACATAGTAGAGCTGTGAGATCAGGGTATCCAATAAAGTGGCCAGTTAGTGGAAGTAAAAGGTAGGTGTTTCTAATAAAGTGGCCGTTAGTGGAAGCATAAGTTAGGTGTTTCTAATAAAGTGGCCATTTAGTGGAAGTACAAGGAAGGTGTTTCTAATAAAGTGGCCAGTTAGTGGAAATAAGAGGTAGGTGTTTCTAACAAAGTGGCCAGTTAGTGGAAGTAGGAGATGTTTCTAATAAAGTGGCCAGTTAATGGAAGTAGAAGGTAGGTGTTTCTAATAAAGTAACCAGTTAGTTAGTTGTAGCATATTAGCACAATGGATTATCTAACTCTCTCTCTCTCTCTCTCTCTCTCTCTCTCTCTCTCTCTCAGGATTCAGACACACTGAAGAGTCCTATCTTCACTCCCACCACGGGTCGTCAGGAACACGGCCTGTTGAACCTCTACCACGCCATGGAGGGGGCAGAGCACCTGCACATTCTGGTGGTCAAACAGCACGAAATGCCCCTCTACAGGAAGTACTGGCCCAACCACATCCTGCTGGTGCTGCCTGCCGTCTTCAACACCTCTGGAGTGGGTGGGTACTGACAGGACGAGATTAAAGCATTACTAGATCAGTCGTACTTCCAGTTTCGCACTGTAACTACCACTTTAATAGAAACACCTACCTTGTACTCACCTTCCACATTATAAGCTCCACCTACATTATAGAGCCACTGTAGAGGTGTAGAGTTACAGACTGCAGTCCATCTGTTGCTGCATAATTAGTTTTGAGCCACAAGGGAGGGTTTTCTGATAAGGTGGACTAACAAAACAGTGGATTTTGAGAATGTATTAGTGTAGGAATGGGTTAAATCCATATCAGAATTATGAATAACTGAATAAGTATATTGACAGTGGGGTCTCCTTGTATGGATACTCATTTTTCACCCAAATCATGACGAAACTGCGGCGTACTCATACTTTTTCTCTGACCGTTATCTGATGTGTGACTGTGCATCAGAGATGACCGTGATTATTGTGGCTTGTGCGTATGTCAGGTGCTGCGCGGTTCATGATAAAGGAGCTGTCGTATCATAACCTGGAGCTGGAGCGGAACAGGCTGGAGGAGCAGGGCGCGCGCCGGCAGGACGTCTGGCCCTTCATTCTCATCATGGACGACTCCTGCGTCCTGTGGAACACGCACACAACCGGTCACCACGGCAACGGGTACGGGGGGAGGTTGGGAGGGATGGATGAACAGAGGTGATGGAGGGAGAGATGGACCGATGGATGGGTGAATGAATGTAGGAAATAAATGGAGGAAGAGATGGATGGATGGACGGATGGATGGATGGATGGATGGATGAATAATTGGATAGATGAACGGATGGATGGATAGATAATTGGATGGATAAACGGATGGATGAATGGATGGATGGATGGATAATTGGATAGATGAATGGATGGATGAATGGAAGGATGGATGGATGAATAATTGAATGGATGAACGAATGGATGGATGGATTATTGGATAGATGAACAGATGGATGGATGGATGGATGGATGGAAGGATGGATGGATATTTGGATGGATGAACGGATGAATATATAGTTGGATAATTAGGATGGATGGATGGATAGATAATTGGATGGATGAATGGATGAATATATGGATGGATGGATAGGGATGGATGGATAATTAAGATACCTAGGTGGATGAATGAATGAAGGGAGGGATAGATGGAGATGGATGGAAGGATAGATAGATGGAAGGATTTATAATTAGTTTGTGGATGGATGGATGGATGGATGGATGGATGGAGACGGCTGGATGGATGAGTGGGTGAATGCACAGGTGAATGTCTCTCTCTCTCTCTCTCTGTAGCTCTGAGGTGGTGAATGTCTCTCTGTCTCTGTAGCTCTAAGGTGGTTAATCTCTCTCTCTCTCTCTCTCTCTCTCTCTCTCTCTCTCTCTCTCTCTCTCTCTGTCTCTCTCTCTGTCTCTCTGTAGCTCTGAGGTGGTGAACGTCTCTCTGAAGTCAGTGCTCCTCCATATGGAGTGCAGTCCTAAGCTGAGTCAGTATGCCATGTGTGGAGTGCGGAGTTGGAGCAGTAAAACCCCGAGCGCTGGAGCCACGTTCAGCCGCTGCCACCTCCACGACTTCATCCTGCTCAACGTCGACCTCACGCAGAACGTGCAGTACGACCTCAACCGGTGAGCAGAGCAAGGAAAACTGTAGTACAAAAACACTTTTGAGGAGCTTTGTGTCAGACCTCATGAGTTTACATACATGACATTGATCTGTCCAAGCTCCGCCCACAAATACGCTTGTACATACCAACTGTTGCTAATACACTACAGGAAGCGTAGGGGGCGATATGGCTTCTACTGTTTCATTTAAAAAGCTCTATAATGTTCATATGATCCACACAGTCACTCTGACAGACTGTAATACACTACAGGAAGCGTAGGGGGCGATATGGCTTCTACTGTTTGTATATGTTTTATATGTATTTGTTCGTATGTGTTATTTCATTTGTAATACGTTTTAGTGAAACATGGTTAACAGTCAGTGTTTATGTGTTCCTTTGTGTAGGTACACGTGTGAGGAGGTGGACTTTAACCTGCGGGTGAACAGCAGTGGTCTCCTGCTGTGTCGCTTCAACCACTTCAGCATCATGAAGAAACACATCACCACCGGCGGACATAAAGCCATGCTGATCAAACCCAAACACGCGGTAAACAAACTTACCACTACTCTCCCCATAATCCCACCATTCCCCCACCTCAGAACGAAAACTGAGGCATTGTATTTTTTTCACTCATATTCTTATTTACATGATTTAATCTCAGGATCATCTCTAGCCAGCAGGGGGTGCAGTTCACCCCCCCCAAACCCAGCCTGTACTGCATGCTGTATAGCAGAATCAACATTATAAGAGGAGGAAAAAATTAACGGGAAAGCTCGTAACACTCAACATGGCAGCTGTATTACAGGGAAAGAGCCAATCAGCTTGTTGCTAGAGTTGTAAACAGAAAAAGCCCCACCCCTTTGTTGTAGAGATATATATGCATAGGCCAAAGCCAGTTTAAGGGGATTCTGGACACTTATTTCTGTCTTTATATCAAAAACATGACTGCAAAACTCAAAAATTATACAAATTGTGTGAGATCGTCACTTATTTCTGAAAATAGAATAATATATTTCATAAAAAAAAAAGTATCAGTATTTTTCTGTTTTTCTACAGCAAACAGGTTTTAGACAGTGGAACACCGGAATTACTGCTACTGAGTACTGATTGGTTAACATTACTGCTACTGAGTACTGATTGGTTAGCATTACTGCTACTGAGTGCTGATTGGTTTGCATTACTGCTAGTGAGTGCTGATAGGTTAACATTACTGCTGCTGAGTGCTGATTGGTTAGCATCACTGCTACTGAGTGCTGATTGGTTAACATTACTGCTACTGAGTGCTGATTGGTTAGCATTACTGCTAGTGAGTGCTGATTGGTTTGCATTACTGCTAGTGAGTGCTGATAGGTTAACATTACTGCTACTGAGTACTGATTGGTTAGCATTACTGCTAGTGAGTGCTGATTGGTTTGCATTACTGCTAGTGAGTGCTGATAGGTTAACATTACTGCTACTGAGTGCTGATTGGTTAGCATTACTACTACTGAGTACTGATTGGTTTGCATTACTGCTAGTGAGTGCTGATAGGTTAACATTACTGCTACTGAGTGCTGATTGGTTAGCATTACTACTACTGAGTACTGATTGGTTTGCATTACTGCTAGTGAGTGCTGATAGGTTAACATTACTGCTACTGAGTGCTGAGTGGTTAGAATTACTGCTACTGAGTGCTGAGTGGTTAGAATTACTGCTACTGAGTGCTGAGTGGTTCACATTACTGTTAGTAAGTGCTGATTAGTTATTATTGCCTCTACTGAGTGTTGATTGGTTGGTATCAGTGCTACTGAGTGCTGATTGGTTAGCATTACTGCTACTGAGCGCTGATTGGTTAGAATTACTGCTACTGAGTGCTGACTGGTTGGCATTATTGCTACTGAGTGCTGATTAGTTAGAATTACTGCTACTGAGTGCTGAGTGGTTAGAATTACTGCTACTAAGTGCTGATTGGTTGGTGTTACTGCTGCTGAGTGCTAATTGGTTGGCATTACTGCTGCTGAGTGCTGTTGTCGGCAGTGTCAAGTGTGATGTCAGTCGTATTCTGTCTTTCGGTAAGAGATTATTAATGCGACCTGCTTCAGCCTTCGAAAGACATGATAATCATTTTCTGCACTTTGCTCTTTGCTATAATGTTTAATATGTTTAATCTCTCTCTGTATCTTCTGTACGTGTTCACAGTCTATGGAGAGCGTGTCCCCCCGTATCCCCCCGTCTCAGTATGTGTGCGCGCCGGACAGTGAGAACACCGTGCTGGACGCGCCGGCTCAGCTGCTGCTGGAGAAGTTCCTGCAGAGCTGCAGTCAGCACCTCTTCCCTCAGGCTTTCCAGAACTCCTCCAACCCCGTACTGGCTATAGACAGCTACCTGGACCTCGGCCCTCAGGTCAGAGCAAACGCAGCCACTGTCCACTGTCGGGACCAAAACACTGACTTTACAGGAGAAGGAAAAAACTTTCTGCTCTTTGAATTGAACAAGATTGTTTTCCAAGTAATTTTGGAGCATTTCTGTTTGTACATTCATCATGAAATGTTAACACGCTGTAAAGAGCTGCTGACGTTTTCAAATTCTGGAGCAAAGAAGACAGAAACGATGTTTTGTTCTGACAGCTGTGATATACACTATATTTACTATGTATGATTATTAAATCAATCAACATTAAACCAGTTTTGTTGCACATAAAAACTTTACATAGATTCTAGTATTCAAGTGCTGTACAATTTCACAGATTTCAAATAATTAGTAGAGGAAAAACTAATAAAAGAGGCCCAGATGTTGGAAAACTTCATTTTCCTCATTTTTTTGAAACGTAAGAGTTTGATGTAGTATGTAAACATACAGATCCATGCAGTCTGTACACTGAAACGAAGCTACAAAAAAAGATTTCTAATAAAATTTACGGAATTAAGTTCTGATACAATTAACATCCAGAATTAGGTTATAATAAAATGAATAAATCTAATAAAAATAAACATCCAGAATAAATTTCTAATAAAATTAACATCCACAACGAAGTTCTAAAAAATTCATATCAACAATGAAGTTCTAATAAATTTGCTAATAAAATTAATATCCAGAATGAAGTTCTAAAAAATTAATGTCCAGAATGTCTCATATTTGACTCTCAAAGCAATAAAGATGAATAAAAAAAAATTGTACATTTATTTTTTATCATTTAATAACATCTTTGGCACAAAATACTTGAAATATTAAATAAAATATTTGTATTTCCGGTTCTGTGTCATAATATTTCAGTCTACATTGTATGAAATTGAATTTGATATTTTTGCTGTAATGGTCTGAACAGTGCTGTTAACTGTGTTTGTGTATCTGTGTGTGTGTGTGTGTTCAGGTGTGTGTGTGTTACGTGAGCTCCAGGCCGCACTCCATTAATCTGGACCACAGTGGGGTGGTCTTCAGTGGGCTGCTGCTGTACCTTTGTGACTCGTTTGTGGTGTCCGGACTTCTAAAGAAGTTTCGCTTCCTGAAAGGTGAGCCTCCTCGAAAATATCACATTCTAACATTAGATATAGTTGTGTGCAAAAGTTTTGGCACCCTGGTCACATGTAAGTTTGTAAGGTGATGTTCTAAGTGAAAATAAATTAACACGTCCTCTGCAGAGAACTCACTTAAATATGACATTGTCCCCCTTTTTTTGCACAATTCTTGCCATAAGGCCTTGGAAAACTCCCTGACGGCACTTTAAAGGCCATTTCATTACTTTAGCAGCTCAAGTGAAGTTTGTAAGAGAAGTGGGGTCGAGTGAGCATGAGGGTCGATATCAGCAGCAGAACTTGCTCAGAAATCATTTCTCTTTTATAAACCAATTTAAAATACTTAATATTTCACAACTATAACGTTTGATTTGCTGAGCTTTAAGTTACAAACTAGTCTATCTGTATAACAGTGACTGCTGACAACTTCATCACTTTACTCTGCTAGCCTGCTAGTTAGCATGCTAACGGCTACACCGCTAACAACAACAAGAATAAAGGCTCTCCCCCAAATTTACAGCCAGACAAAACAGTTATTCACAAATTGTCCGTACTTTTTGTTCAAACTTCTCAAAAACGCATCGCGAAGTCTGCATGGCTGCCTGATAAGCACACTGAAGCCAACATAACCGAGCGCGTTCCGTTTGAATGTTCCTCTCCACGCTGTCCTGTCACTTCTGCCACAAGTCTGTAACGTAGGCGTGACACATATCCAAACTGGCGACAGGACGTTGCAAAAAGTTTCAGGGCGAGACCTTATATCACTTTTTCAGCCTATACGTTTATGAACTGTCCTCTCACCACGTCTCGCTCTCTCTCTCTCTCTGTCTTTGTCCTGGCTGGCTGATCGTGTGCAGGTGCGACGCTGTGCGTGGTTTCTCAGGACCGCAGCTCACTGCGCCAGACGATCGTGCGCCTGGAGCTGGAGGACGAGTGGCAGTTCCGCCTTCGGGACGAGTTCCAGACGGCAAACTGCAGCGAGGATCGACCCCTCTACCTCCTCACCGGACGGCATATTTGACGGATAACTCGACGGCAAACTGACCCACCCTTCGCCATTCCAACCAAGCAGGAGATTCTGATTCTTACGTGTTTACTGAATTGCTATCCAAGCTCCGCCCACAGACGTGTTCCTTCATGGTTACTGTTGCTGGATGAGATGATCAACAGCCAACCATATATTCCATTGTTTTCAATGGAGCACCTACGAAAAATTCTGCCAACGTCTAAGGCAGCGGCAGGGAACCACAGCGGTCAGCGGAACGTCCTGTCAAGTGCTCAGTTTTTTCCCAACTTTTGCCCTCAAGTGTGATTTTTTTTTGGGAGAAACGGAGGCTGAACGTCTCTTTGTTGAAGCTTAGGGGCGTCCAGTATTACAACATGATATTAAAACAGAGCATCGTCATGACGTTTTTCCACCCTAAATAAGAGCTGCAGCTGCTAAAGCTCTCCTCTAATCAGCCCTTTACACCGGTAACGTTGTGCCTGTAGCAATGTTAGCATTGCCACACATTAACACTGTCGTGTACCACAATAACGCTTGGAACGATAGTTTATTCAGTGCCAGATTGGTGGCAAAAATACTGTTCAACCTAAAGAGAAACTGTAGCACACTACAGTTAAATCATTCCCATAATATTATTCCCAATTTAACGTGCTATGCTAGCTGGGTTATGCTGGTGTGTCTGTTGTAAACAGGCAAGAATTTGCCACCATGCTAAAAGGGCGGAGCTTGGATAAAGCATTTGATCAGATGGGCCCACTGTGGATCAGCCTGGACACCTTCACCCTACATTGAGCAACATTTAGCCAACGCTTGACCAACGATTGTCCACCTGTGGAAATGTTCAGCGTTAGCGCTAGTTGTTCAGGACGAGACGTGGTTTGTTGGACGTTTCTCTTCATCACTCTTTCCCCAACACTCTAAACAGCCTCCCATGATGGACACACTACCTCGGACACACCTCGGAGCCAGAGAGACTCGGAAGGTCGCCTACAAAGTGAAGATAACCACACCTTTATTGCTTCAAGACACTGCAAGACAACAAAACTTTGACAGTGTTTCATAACGACTTTGAGAAGAAGATGTGAAGATTGTACTTATCGATGATTGTCGCTGTATTACCCAAGAACAGACTTGTCTTTGTAAATGATTGTAAACCGGGGCCCCTTTTGTGGCCCCTCGTATGTCCCCTAGTGGACATACACCTTTTCTCAGGGTTTTTTTTTGTCAGAAGGCAAAAAAAGGACTTTGTTACTACTGCTGTTTGTATTGCATTGCTTTACCAACTAAACCTATCAAGGACAATTAACCCACAGAGCCAAGAGTTACACAACGCAAGCCATAAGATGTGCCCCAATGACTGAAATACCAGCGCATCCTCCCTGTCCGACACATTTAACCGCTGGACGCTGGGACGCAAACCTTCTGCCCAAGTATCATCACGTGCTGATTAGTTTTTCAGACCAAACGCTGCTGAACCAGAACCAGATATTTCTTACAGTTTGAAGTTACAGCCAGGAAATGTAGTGTTGAACTGGCTACAGTGCTAGACTAGCCACCGAGCGGAACCCCTCTCTGGCAGAAGAGGCTGCACTGGTCTTTTATCGTTTCTTAATGCCAAAAAAGAACCACTGCACATTGTGCCTTTTCAAAATGTGGCATCAAAAATCTACCAATCCAGTCCTGATATGCACGAATCCAGATGCCGTTTGGTGACCCTGCCTTCATATCTGTGCACCACTGTATGCATCTGTCCTTTAAGATGGTTCTTCAAGGGTTCTTTTGTAAAGGGAATGCTTCTGTTTAGAAACATGAGTTCTACCTAGAACCATTTCATGCTTTAATGGTTCTTTGCTTGAAGAATGTGTTGTATATGGTTCTATATAGCACCAAACAAGGTTCTTCTGTTGTTATGATGCCAAATTGTAACAGAAGAACCCTTTAGGTGCTATAAAGAACCATTTTCAAAATGGTTCTATAGAGCACCAAATATATAGGTTCTATAAAGCACCAGACAAGGTTCTTCTATTGTTATGATGCCAACTTGTAACAACAGCAGAACCCTTTTTGGTGCAATAAAGAACCATTTTCAAAATGGTTCTATAGAGCACCAAATATATAGGTTCTATAAAGCACCAGACAAGGTTCTTCTAATTTTATGACACCAACTTGTAACAACAGAAGAACCCTTTTCGGTGCTGTAAGGAACCAAAAAGGGAAAATGGTTCTATAGAGCACCAAATATATAGGTTCTATATAGTACCAAAAAGGGTTCTTCCATCATTACGGTGTCAAGCTTGTAACAACAGCAGAAGCCTTTTTGATGCTATATAGAACCTTTTTGTTAATGGTTCTATAGACCACCAAAAATATCGGTTCTGTATAGCACCAAAAAGGGTTCTTCCGTTGTTATAATGTCAAGCTTGTAACAATAGCAGAACCTTTTTGGTGCTATATTTAGTTTTCGAAAAGGCCCTATATAGAACCAAATATAACATGTTCTCTATCAATCTGAAGAACCATTTCACCATGCAAAGAACATTTAAGCATGAAATTGTTCAACATAGCACCAAAAAAATGTTCTTGCATTGTTACAATCTCAAGCTTGTAAAAGTTTCTATATGGAACCACAAACAACACATTCTCTATCAATCTGAAGAACAATTTCACCATGCAAAGAACCATAAGAACCCATATATTTGCCACTCTGTAGAACAGATTTGAAAAGGGATCAATATAGGGTTCTTCTGTTGTTACAAGCTCAACATTGAACCCTTTTTGGTGCTATACAGAACCATATACAACACATTCTCCATCAGTCTGAAGAACCATTTCACCATGGAAAGAACCATTAAAGCATGTTTTATATAGAACCCCTTCACTAAAGAACCCTTGAAGAACCATCTTTTCTAAGAGTGTAGGCTGTAACGGTTATGTCAGCGTTAGCTACGTCTGATTCTCCTTAACTAAAGCCGAGCGCCGAAGCTGAAGATTGTATTCCGCTGCCTCCAGGCTGGAGATTCCTGGAATGATTATTCATCCTCAGACATTCCTGATTTTTTTTAAACTATGGGAACGTTGGGATTGCACAGGGTTGCCCGACGTAGCTGCCTTAAATGAGCGAGCTGAGATGACGAGCCGGGTAAAGTGGCGTTAACCAAAGCAGAAAAGCCAAATGTAAAATGTGAAGTAGCCTTCCTGGCGCGTCTGAGTTGATGGTTTGCGATGACCTTTTGCGTTTATGGATGTTAAAAAGGGTTTAAAGTTTATGGAACGTTGATATTAATATATTAAATCTTTGTCGCTTTTTGGGGGGTCACTTTTTCGAGCCATGTGTGTTGATGAAAATGCATTCTCTCTTTCTTTTCCAAGGCACAAAGAATCTACCTAAGAGAACCGTTGTTTTTTTGTTTGTTTTTAGAACCTGCTCTCCAGTGTTGTTTTGTTTGGGCTATTTTTTTATTTAAAATAAAAGAAACAGGTCCCGTTTTTGAAGGGATTGCTATTTATTCTACGAGCGTCTTGGACTGATAATCGTAACGAGGGTTCTCGTTAACGTCAAGGACTCGCCATCCTTAAATTCATCAGAAAGTCTTTGCACACGTCCATGGAAACTGAGTTTGTGTTGTGGTTGTACTAGAACTTGAAGTGAAAAGGGTTAGAATTGTGAAGTTGCACTATACAGTTGGCTAAGTCGGCCAAACGTCAGTAGTCTTTTATGTAGCCGACCGGTCGGATCGGCTGACTTTGAATGAGATGAATTAGGACCAGTATTGATTTAAATGAAGAAAAAAGAGAAAAGATACTATGAAATGTCCATGTGAAGACCCCGTATTACGACCCCTAGAATGTGTCCCGTTTGTACATAGTAAGATGTGCACATAAATTATGCAATTTGCTTCTCACAATCTTTTCAGAAACGCTGTCTGCTGTGCATATACAAACCCATGAAGCGCCAAACCGGTTTGAATGTTTAATCAACTGGTCTACCTCATGATCTGCTGGTTTGGATGTGGGTTTGTTAACGTGACATATAAAAAATGTTCTCTTTTTTGTTGTTGGAACTTATGAATGTAATAATAAAGTGACATTGATATCCATCTGGTGTGTCCATGCAGTTCTTTACGCATGTTCAAGTGTCTAGATAACAACACTTGAGTAACACCGCTGCCTGGATAAGGGGCCTCTTGACTGCCAGGGGCCTTGGGGGGCCTCAGACCTCAAGAGCCAAATGGGATCAAATACTTGGGTCAGTCTGTTGCTGAAATAAACAGATGAACGAACAGCCCTTGAATATCGTCACTGTCCAAAAAAAACGTATCTCCAATTTTTATTTTTCTTTCTTTACGTTGTGTGAAAATGTCATGATGAATGGACCAATAGAAATGCCCCAAAGTCACTTAGAACAAAATCCTTTTTGCCCTCTCCTGCCCTCTAAAGTCACCATTTTGGGGAGATACTTGTTTTTCGTTGGACAGCAACGATATGTGCAAACGAAATACAGTCATATGCAAAAACACCTTTGCTAAAATTACATTTTGTTGTTTTTCTAAATGGATATCAGTGACATCCTCTACACAGAACACACATAAACATGGCATTTTTCTGCAGATTTTAGTGCACAGTTTCTATTTATTTGCTGAGTTTAACATTTTGGAAAAATCCATAGCTTTTGCACTGGCTAAATTTTCTGAAATATGTGTTGGGTGTGTTCACTTAGAAAATCGCCCTCAGGTCTGCTTTGCATACGACTGTAAATAAAGAAACCTGATCTGTTTATTATTTGGCTAGTGTCACACGTCCATCCAGATCTGACCAGGTAGTGAACTCCAACTCCCAGAACTCCCTTGGAGATCATGTGACTGACGACTCACCGTCCAAAATCACTCATCGGTCCCCCTGACCAGAGTACTAATATGCTGCACCTGTCTTGTTTTTCCATGTGACCTAGAGTAGTTGGTATATATAAAGCCTGGGCTTTTGTTGCCTCTTTCCTCTGAGTGTTTTTCTTGTATTGCCTTTTGTGTATCGGACTGTGTTTTTTGGATTTTTTGCTCTGCTTTTTGATCTTGTTTGCTTGCTTTATTATGTTTGTCTTTCTGTATTTTTGGATTGTTTTGGATCTGACCTATGCCTGTTTACTGACAACGAGTTTGGAATTTTCTCATTTGTAAAGTTGCTAAGGTGCTATATAAATAACCTTGCCTTGCCAGGGGCCTCATAAGACCACAATCCGTCTCTGTTTCCATGACCCCACCTTTAAATAAAAGTCCACTTTCTGGTTTGCTAAGCAGTGAAGATGAACCTCCTCTTTCTACTCATAAAGCGTTTATACAGTCTATTATAAACTTTGTCCCAGTCTCTCCCACTCTGTGGACTCTCCCTCTTGTAAATGGCTCAAACCAGCTCCAGCTCTGCCCACTCATAACTCTTGAAACTAGTTTTTGGACTCTGGTATATAAACCACTGCTGGCGCTTCCTCTTCACCAGTCCTGCAATTTTTCCAGCATCATTTCTGAATGTTTGTGATTAGTGTTTAATGTTGTTCTCCTGGTTGAATTTTCAAAGTTTCTGTGTAATTCAGTGTGTGAGCTGTAATCAGAGAGATTCAGAGAGGTTTGGTGTCAAATGGTTCAGATGTCTTTACAGTGGTGGTGATAGGAACCAGGGGTCGCCATGACTACAACACAAATATAGACATTTTATTTACTATCCAGAACCACCAGTGAACCTACACGAGTCTTCTGAGTTTATATGGAATGTTGATGATGGTAAAATAGTAGAAAATCTGAAAACTAAGTTTTCTTTGGGGACTATTTTGCCTCACAGCGCCCTGCATGTGCCATGAATAGATTAAAAAAAATATGCCAAAATCTTCTCAAAACTATCGTAAAACAATGTCTCAGATATCAGAGTATTCAAAACCATTTCATGTAAAAGAGCTTTTGGAGGCATTAAACTCTTCAAAAAGAGCTGCACATCATGAAGCTGCACTAATAATCCACCATGTGGTTTTGCTTTGATGTGGCCATTTTAAATAATGTGAGATGTATATATCTGCTGATTGTATCCAGACGTTCTATGTTGCACACTAACCCAAGTCCTAACCCAATTTCCAGAAAAAGATGCGACAGTATGTAAAATGCACACAAAAACAGAAAACAACGATAAGTGAATTCTGTTTAATTTGTATTTAAACAAAAGCAGTACAAAAACAAGATTAATGTTTTCTTATTAAGAAAACATGCCCATGACATTTGACCCCTCAGACTGCACTGCATTAAAGACCGGCATGCTTCTGTGATGGAGATCACAATGTGGGCTCAGGAATACTTTGACAATGAACACTGTTCGTTGCTGCATCCACAAATGCAAGTTAAGACTGTACTATGCAGAGTCGTCGTATGTCAACAGTGTTCAGAAACGCCGCCGACTTCTCTGGGCTCAAACTCATCTGAAATGGACTGATGCTCAGTGGAAACCTTTGCTGTTATCTGACGAGTCAGACTGTTTAGGGAAATAATGGACTTTGCGTTCTCCGGGCCAAAGGAATGACCTTTTTTTTGGAAATGGGTTTTGTTCCTATAGTGATGATATGCTGCCTTTTCGACGTCATCTTTTTCCATGCTTACTTTAGCTTCACAACACCAATGAACATTCTGCATGTTACGAAAGCATGGCTGGATAATCACTGAAGTACAATTTATGACAGAGTATGATTAACGCAGTAGTAAATATGCTCCTGTCAAAACATTTTCAGTTTAATATGTTAATAGTATTAATATAATAAAATTTTATAATATTAACACGTGAAACAGAATTCACTAATCACAGCTATGTGTTTTAATTAGCATGTCACATACTGTCCATTCTTTTTTTTGGATAAAAATCAAGATAAAACATGATTTTTTCTTTACATTTTCTTATTCAAATAACCAATTAAGTCAGGTTAATTTGGGGAGGAGAGGAACGTCCCAGAAAAACTCCTGCCTAGGGTGTTGTCTAGTCTAGAGCTGGCTTTGGGAATAACTTTAACTAGCCCTGGACTCCCATAAGGCCAGAATGTGGGATGTGTGAGTATCCCCTCTGTGGAGGTTCTGCCTCTTTTGGCTTCCTGTAGACCATTAACCCCTGTTGCCCTCTGCTTCCATCACGAGGAGCTGTGTGTATTTTTAGAGTCTGAGATTAAGAGAGGTACCAGTCGAGGTAC